AACCAGAAAGGCTGAATTCTGAAGCTTTGACTCACTACTAATCACGGCACGATGCCTCAGTTATGCTCCATTTAATGAAAAAGAAAAGGAAAGCGAAGACTTTACAGGAGAGACATGACCCCTGCCGCTTTTAGAAGGTTGAGATTTCCGTGAAGACCTTATATCAATTTATGAATTTATTAAGAACCAATAATTACGCCACTAATGTTATTATTATTGGACGGAACCAAGTAAATTGCAATTTTCCTATCATCCTTTCATTTTCACCGAACTATTTTTATTTTACTAGAGTCAGAACTGCGTATAAAAGTTAACGTTGAAAGGTAAGTGGGATCTTTTAGAGGGACAATACCGTGGGCGATTTCTTACCACCGTTCTTTTTCTAGAGAAGATAGACATAAATTCAAATGATATTTATCAAAATATACCAACGTTACGTCCGTACCGTGCGAAAAGAAACTATCTAAGAATGATAAAGATTCCATTGGGTGCAATTTGATTACTAGGTTAAAGTTGTGACCGCCAAATTGTAATATAGTCATTGAATAGTTGATGGTTGTGGATGATGAGAAACTAGTGCAGAATCAAGTAAAATTTACCTGAAGAGTTCCGAGGATGAAGAGGGCCATGCCGATGTTGCCGTGAGTGCCGACGTTGCCGCCGCCGCCGGCGTCGCCACCGAGCCGCAGGCCGGTGATCCAGCCGGCGACGCCCACGGCGTAGGCAGATGCTTGGCACGTCACGTGGAGATAAAACCAAGCTGGATTTGCTGACTTGAACACCTTCAAGTACCTCGCCAATAACACTCCCAGTGGCATCATTACTCCCCAGCTCACAGCATTCAAAACCCCATGAACCTGCGCAATTTTCCCGACAAAAAAGAAGAAAACAAATAAATGAATAATGGACCAACCACCTCTTAAATGAACTTTAACGTATAGCTAATTATATATAATATATATCTATATATTTTTCCGTCAGTAATTTATGTTAATGGCCTGCACGACCTAAATATAGATTATATGGTTGCACATGCATGCGTAACCAGATATGAAGTTCATCATAGACGTAAAGAGGGTAAAACAAAAAGTCAAACTTGCCCAATGGGTAGATTTAAAGCTAATTCACCCAAGAATAAACTTACATTCTTTTTTCGCTCCGTCGAGCTAATTCCTGATGATCCTGACGACGATACTCCACCCGACGTGCTAGAGGTAGACAAGAAGTTGAGCGTCCCCGTGGATTGCATGTTGGCTCCACTCGTGGAATGAATGCCGGGGGTTCCGGGTCCATTCATCGGACCTTCTTGCCACACCTGGCTCGCGCTCACCATGCTCGTCCCGAGCTCCAGCCTCGCGAATATCGTCATCTCGCCGCTCTCGTACGTTGCCGATATGTTCGGCACCCCGAAGCTCAGGGCCCCCTCCGGCATGTCCGTGTTGTAACTGTCGATGCTCGACGTGTAGGCATACATCGACCCGCTCGAGGTCATGTAGGCCACGAGCGCCTGGCACCCCACCATCCTCTGCCCCCTAGGGTTTATCGCCCACGAGATCCATCTCAAGGTCGTGGTGCCCGTGTGCCGGAACGCGATGTCTGCCGTGCCAGTTGACTTCGTGTAGTTCCAGTGGAGGTACGAGCTCAGCACGGGGAGGTCGACGCACGAGGCATAGGCGTTCTTGTTGGAAAACGTGTAGTTCCGGCAGGTCTGCGCACGAGAGCACGAAACACACAAAGCGAACACCAGGACCCGCAGAAAGAGCACGGACCTCGTCGGAGCGATCTCCATAGCGATTCTCGGCTTACAGAACAATAGTATCTTCTCTAAAGAGAACTTGTTAATCAGGTGGATGAAAATGCAAGATGAGATGATCAAAAAATGGAGAAGGAGAAAGAGTGAGTATGGTCTTCTTCAGCCAAGAAGAAGAAGTAATGGAATTAGTGTTTGATAGTAATGACTGAATTTGCTAAGACTAGGTCTCATATATATAGTGGAATCTCTCATATAATGAGTGGCCAAGATTTTCTTTTTCTCTTTTCTTTCTTTCCCTCCTGAAAATTGATCAAGATTTTATGATATGAACGGTGAGTACTGGGTAAGGTGTATTACAGGCTGGAGGTGGGAAGCAGCCTGGAAAGTCCTCCTTTGCCCCTTGAAATTTCTGAAGTTTTAGGGTTTTTTATATGTCAACTTGTTCTTGAAATTAATCATACTTCCAGCCTTTGCCAAAGCGTCGTTCATTTTTTACTTCATCGAGAAGAATCGAGGAAAGGCGAGGGAAAGTTCCCCATTGCGGCGCTTCATTGTCGTTTCTTTAGTTCTCTTTCTTTCAATGCGGAAAGTCAAGTTGATTCCGCGTCTCGAGAAATATAAAATTCCATCGGCGTGTGGCGGGCATGTGGAGTTTGGTCCATTTCACTTTTTAACTTCTTTTCTTTCTTTCTTTTATTAATCCGAGGGGTCTAAATAAAGAAATTAAATGAATAAGATATTGTAAATTATTTCGGGGGTACATCAAGATACGAACTAACCTAACCTAAAGTTAAATTGGGGTCCCACCAAAATGAAGAAAATTGGTAGAATGGCGTGTGGTTCCGATGCGCCCGCAATTAAAATAAGGTTATAATAAGGTTTCGATGATGTTTTTCCAAACATTCGCAGTAAAATAAAACAAGAGACAGCTAGGTCGACAGCCTGGCCCAAGAGCGTGAGGTAGCAGCCCCGCCACACTCCTCTCTCTGTTTCGTCCTTGTCATTTTATTAGCTGCATTTTATCTGCATGGAGAAAGGGAAAAAAGTCATAAAAAAGCTCTAACCTATGTCCACTGGGACGCATTTGCTCTTAATTTATCTCGAATTACGCTCATCATGACACATTTTATCCATGTTCCGTTAAATGATATTTCAGCCAAAACAATGTTGTTTTTAGCAATGTCAACATTGTTTGGTTTTCTGACGTTCATGTAGATAAATTTTTAACGGTTCTCTTTGGCAGAGTGGTAAATATGTCACACAGGTACAAGTTTGGGATTTCTTATATCATATAAGTAGTTTAGGGTACATATGTCATAATGGGCATAGTTTCGGGTTTTGGTGACTTTTGCCCTAAGGAAAAATGACACAAATTGTCCTCAAACTTTGGCCAAAAATGCAATGTGATCCAAGAATTTTAAATTTATTCAATGTGGTCCCTGGACTTTTAGTACATATTCAATATAGTTCTTGAACTATATAAAAATATTCAATATTGCCCTTGATATTGAATTAATGGAATGACAACATTGAAAATTTCATACAGTTTAGGGACTTCACTGAACATGTATCAAAAGTCTAGAAACCATATTACATATTAGGGTAAAATTCAGGGACCATATTGAACAAATTAAAAACTTAGAGACCATATTACACATTTGGCTAAAAGTGAAAAAACCATTTGTGTGATTATTCCTTATCTATACTAGTTAACATTTACCGAGTAAAATATTTTTTTCCCTTTGGGTCTTTCCTTTGTTTTAATCTTTTTTTCGGATTACACGTCGTCTTTATCACTAAGAGGAGGAGAAATCAAGGAGAGGAAGTTTGACTAGGCCTTATATCTACGTGATTGCATCAGAGGCTTGAGTTTAAAGAAGCACTTTCCTCGCTTTCAACCGGACGCAAACGTAACCGTCGCCCACAGCTTTGAGCTTCTAGACATTCTTCTTCTTCTTCTTGTTGATTTTTTCTGTATTACGCTGAAACGGCATCACCACCCGGTAGTCAATGGGTGCCGTTTCGATGTAGAATGAATACAATAAAGCGGCCTAGTGACGAACACGTCCTCCCTCTGCTTTGCTTTCAGCTGAACCAACATGAACTTTAGTGGTGATTATAATAAGGGAACAACTTGTTTAAAGTTGAGCTGAAACAATGAATCAAGACATTACTTTGCGTTGCGTCCACGCTGACGACCTTGACATTGTTCGCTGACACATCCGCTTCGGAGCATGTTCTTTCCCCTGCATTCCTCGTCAGACCAAACGTGTAGATGAATGCAGTTGCCTTGTTGCTTCTGAAGCATCAATGAAGAACTCATTCACATGCCCCGTGTGGTAGTCGCCGCAAATGCAAGACTAGTCGTTGATTAACACAAACACAATCAAATCCTACTCACGGCACAATGCTCCTGAGCTGCAACCCTGATTTTTTTAGATTACAGATACGCCTCTAAGACTCATCCTCTCTCAAGCACAATCCATGAAAGCACTTCTTTTGTTGATCTAGACGAAAAAAGCACTAGATATGGGTGATCAGCTGTACAAGGGGCCTTTTATAATCCAAAAGAACCCAAATGATTTTCAATCTCACTTCACAATTCATGTGACATACCATTTGTAAATCTCCATTGGGAATAATCACGAGAAAAGCTACTCAAGAAAGCTACTCAAGAACTAAGCAAAACTAGATAGGGCAACAGCACACTGCCTTTCTCTGCATTGCTTTGTCACTTACTTGACGCTAATACTATTTTAGAAAGTCTGCAGCATTCCAAACTCATAGCGCGACTCATGAACTTCCCTAATTTTCAATCTACATCTAGAGCTTATGTTGAGATTTCTTACACTTTTAAGGCAATGTAAGAACCTATGCTCAATACTGAACTCAACTACCCAGTGGGATCATTAACAGTGAACCAGCCAGCCTTCTTCATGAGGGCATTTCTAACTTGACCCTCATCTTGCTTGTTGCTAAAATTTCCTATTGACTAGGGATAATAAATTCCAGGGTGGGCCAGTTCCCCGTTTGTGGAACCGGGAACCGCCCACCTAGTCTTGGACCCACCCGGGAACCAGGCTGACCGGTCCGGTCCGGTTCAATTCTTGGGTGGGTCCAGGAATTGGCCGTATCTCCTTTTTTTTTTCCTATTCCCTGCAATACTACAAGTGTTTGCATAGGCTAAACCACTACACTAGTGATGTTAATAGAAAAAGCTCCTGGTAAGTTAAACACGATGATCATCTCCACAAACAAAGCTATAATGATCATCAAGAACCAAGTTTGTGAGTTCGCCACAAAGTTTGCCAATCATAACAATCACTACAAGAGTTTGCCACAAAGTTCTCAAGCTTCAATTCAAATGCATTTACAATCTACATTACATATCACACGTGAAAAAGAGTTTGGCAAAAGTTCGCAAGAGCAAGCAAGCAAGCAAAGAATGGGAATAAAGGTTTTGGAATTTTGGAATAATAAGAATTAAAAAAAAAATCAGCCCCATCCGGGACTAATATTCACCGGTTCCAAATTTTAGAAACCAGGAACTTCCCAGAACCAGCCGGTTTGGTCTGGTATTTTTGCTCACCCCTGCTACTAGCCCCCAATGTAGCTGAAAATATATTGCCATAATTCACCTATTTTGTCCCTAAACTTATCAATGAAGAGATAAACAGTGATCTTTGGGGCATGCTGACTTCTACATACATAAGGGGGAGAAAATGCGATGTAGTATAAACTGTTACTTTGTCTGTTCAACTCTTTCGGCGCCAATCATTGTGCACGTCAGCAACACTCTCCCAAATGAAGATAACTGCTCATAGCTAAAAAAGAAAGGTGACCACATCCGTTCTTATTCGTGGTTAACATCACCAAGTAGATACTGTAGCTCCTCCAGCTTCGCCTTTGTCACATCTAAGTCCAAGGTCACCTGTAGAACGGATCAGAAGATGGGAATGCCATTTCATTCCTAAGCGAAAAGAAAGAAATGAACATATCATAGAGCAACATTCTGACGAGTGCCATAGAGCTAAAAGTAAAGAACTGGGCCAATGGTCATGTTGTTTCATGCTCATAAAATAGGGAAAATTTTCCGGCGGCTAACTGACTATCCACATGCCAGCGCTCAAACATAAAAATACAAATCAGAAAAATGTATGCACAGCAAAGAGATGACTAACACTTTCATTTTTCATAAACCAGTACATATAGAACGAATGAAAACTATACAGCAGGATCTGCGCCAACTGCAGGGAAAAGATTCTGACCTCCTTGAAGATTTCGCTGTAAGAAGACTCCACAAAGCCCTGCAATAACAATCTCAAGGTATCATCCCCATGATGTGGGCCAAAGTCGCACGCACCCACACGCATGCACACACACCGAGAGAGAGAGAGAGAGAGAGAGAGAGAGACCAATTTCTGGAATAGATGAAGAGATGCTCTGTTCGATTCTCCGATTTTTGCACGAAAAGTGTGGATCCCAAAGTTTTTTATTGCAAAAGCCATCATCATCAGAACAGATTCCTTTCCAAGTCCCTTGCCACGGCTAAGCTAGAAGAAATGAGACAATAATAAATGCAGCTAATACCAATGCAAAACATATGGAGTCAACAAAGAATATAATCAAATTGAAATAATTGAGTAAGAATGATTTCCCAAATGTTCTGAGTCGACAGACTCGTGTCACTTATCGTAAGTTATGCACTCCTAGGACCAATAGGAGCAGATAACCAAACAGATCTCAAAACAATATATGTAGTAAATAAGATCTATCTATATATTTTATGAATTGTGAGAGACAAAAGAATGTTTGTAAGTGCTAAGAGTAGCAATCAATGTAGATTATGATTCATCATAATGTCCGGAAAAAATATGATAAAAATACTACATTTAACATTAGTTCCAGCCATTTGCTCAACACCTGGTGTCATCTCTCATCAATTTTTCTTATATATTCAAAGAAAATCCTCTCATGTCGAAAACCTGTACATGTTTGTTGATATTTTAGGAATATGGTTCAACCAATAAGGTAACTGATTGTTAAAAGAAACTCCAGAAAATCTTCAAGAGGACTGTCACGTCTAGAATAATATCAAGCTAATAAGATTTAATCAATTAGGTAATTGACTGTTAAGAGAAACTCCAGAAAATATTCAAGAGGACTGTCACATCTAGAATATTATCAAGCTAATAATAATTTCGATTGCTCTGGATACAGTTAGTTTAGACTTAGTTACTCTGTACCATTGAGATCGACAACTCACCTAAGAAGGTAAGTTAAGCTACCAATTGCAATCCCATCCTATCAATCAGGAATGCTGGAAAAGAAAATCAAGTACCTCTTGGGTTCCGCAATCATTATCTCAATCTCTGCCATCTGGAGATCGTCCAAATCATTCATGTATATGTTCACATCACCAACCATGGCTGGAATTCAGACCCAAAAAGAAAAAAAACATGGCTGGAATAAGCACAAGATTAGAACTCTTTTAACTATAAAATTGCAGCATGTGAGGAATACATTCAACAGAGTATTATCCTAGTTCAACCGGAAGGCCCAAATCCTTCATGACCGAACAAGAATTCACATCAGAGTTGATGTTTTTTATGCAAAAAATCAAGCATCCCGGTCTAAATACACACGGTCCACATAAGCACCGTTATACCGCAGACTACCAGACCCGTCATTAGCAAACGCCTAACCTCCAAGTTGATCAATGACGGGTAAGGCGAACCTTCCTTTTCTTACCCTAAAGAATAGCCATCGCAAAGCTCCAATTTTTTCAGCTCTTTCTCAGGATTTTCTTGTCGAACTAACGAGAAAATGTACATGAAAAACGGAAGACAGTGAGGCTCACCTTCGACATGGGGATCTCCCTGCACGTACTTCCCATCCACCATTTCCTTGTCCAATATGATAAACGTCTGCTCTGCAAGAACCACCCTCGCAATGTCAACTATGCAGAAGCAACGGGACAACCTCCAAAAGGAAAGAGATTGGACAAAGAGAGGGGGGTAAAAAAAGAGAGCAACACAGCCCACATCTACTCCGCCAGGAAAGAACCCTAAACCAGACGGGTCGGCTCACTGCTCAGAAGCAAGGGAAAAAGATCGAAATTTGAATCCCTAATCAGCAATCGGAGCCACAAAAACACCAACCCATTTGCAGCTAACATCCAGGGAAGCTCGCGAGCACGAAGCGATTCGAACGTACACACATACATGCACAAACCCAGATCAAAACACACACGCCCCCACAACACGGACAAAGATAGAGGACGTACTGAGGGGGTCGAGAGTCCACGAGCGCTGCATCTGGAACTCCTGATCGAGGGAGAGGGGCTCGGAGCCGGTGGCGGCGAGGAGGGCCGGGTCTTGCATCCACTCGTGGTACTTGGGCACGTGCGCCGCCGCGTACGGCACCAGCACCGCCCGCTCCCCCACCAAGCTCGCTTCCATCCCCATCTTCTTCTCCTTCTCCTTCTTCTTCTTCGTGTCGGCTTCCAGGGATCGACGACCGTCGCGGATGGTGTCCGAACGAGGCGGGTCGGGCCCTTTTGACCCGTTGTTGCTTGCGAAGCCCAATCGAACCAGTTGCACTTTCTTCATGAATTGGGAAAAATTGTCCACGAAACCCCTGAACTTTTCAATTTTATTATTTATAATTCTTAACTTTTTGTTAATTTCCAATTGAGTTCATTGGTGGCATAGACGCTGGCTGCACCACGTAAAATAATCAGCCGGAAATAGATAATTTTTAATTATATCTTTTTATTTTTTTTATTTTTATTTTTTTACTTTCTTTTTTTCTTTTCTTTTCCCTTTTTTCTTCCTCCTTTTACCGGTGATCATCTTCTAGACATAAGGCAATGGCCGACCCCCAGATATGACCAAGCGGGCTGAGCTCACTTGGGCGAGGGTTGCCATCGCCATCGCCATCGCCATCACGGGCGAGGCCCAGTCGGTGTGGGCAAGCCCTGGCGAGGGTTCCCCTTACCGGGCATCGCTTTCGCCCGGGCAACGCCCAGCAAGGCTACCCTAGCCTAGGCGAGAGCCAGCCTCACCAAATCTGGTAAGGAGAGCCCTCTCTCGACCAAGCCTCATTTGTGGCAGGCGATGGCAACCATTGCCCAGACAGAAGAAAAAAGGAAAAAAAAATCATAAAAATCAATAAACTATCAAGACATATTAAATATTTAAAAAAAAAATTCCACATCAGCACGACCATACCACGTAAGACAGTCGGCGTTCACATTAAAGAATTCCGACCAAAATCAGCTGAATAGACTCAATTGGCAAATCGACAAAAAATTTATGAGAATTTAGGATTAAACTGGCAAAAGTACAATAAATTTATGACTATTTGGATAATTTTTCCCTAATGAATTGTGATTCAATATTTTTGGGACAAACCGATTAGATATTATTCATTAGTATCAATAGAGTGAACATTTCATAGATCAAATAATTTCTATCTATAGATTTATCGAGATTAGATCAGCTTATGTGATGTCCATAAAGTTGCATTTTTGCACTCGGGATGGTGCAGTTATAAATGATCGAACCAAAATAAAATAAAAAGTAGTCCCATCATATTGCAAATGCATGCTTGGAGAACCATTTGAATTTATCTCCCCCATTATCTTTAGTAATCATTGTTTGTTGATTGTATATAGCGAATGTCATGATGCCACCTCAATATTCCACTATAAGGTTCTTAACAATCGATCCTCGTCGTCGCCATATTAATTAGTGAGATATTCTGTCACAGTTCGGGCATACAAAGTGTCGAAACCTCTCATTCTCATGTCCAAAAAGTCGTTTTGGACATGTAATAACTTAGCTTCAAAGTGAAGCACAACATAATGAACTCATGTCAAGTGAAAAGAGCATTTGTAGGACAAGAAGGAAAAAAATGACAAGAATTGTCATCTTTGAGGGCTATCTTACCTTCAAAGCCAAGCACTAAAAAACTTTTCTAGTCAGCTTCCTGAGTAGCTATGATGAGCAATCACTTTCACTTCCCAAAAATTCCTCAACAACCAACCCATCACATAAAAATGTCACCAACAAGAGCTTGTCACTCAGGGTACCCAACTCATCTTCAACTTCATCTCACCATCTTCTCTTCCACAATTCACAATGACCATGCCAATTCATCATCTGATCTTCTTCCTCGCTCTCCTCCTGTCCTCCTGTCCTGAACCTGCCTTCTCTGCTCACTGCACCACCACTACATCCACCAAGTCTTTCCAGAAATGCACCTCCCTCCCCACCCAGCAAGCTTCCCTGGCCTGGACCTTCCACCCCCGCAATGCGACCCTCGACCTCGCCTTCTTCGGCACCTTCATCTCCCCGTCCGGTTGGGTCGGGTGGGGGATCAACCCCACCTCCGCCGAGATGACCGGGACTCGCGCGCTTATCGCCTTCCCGGACCCGAACTCAGGCCAGATCGTGCTCCTCCCATTTGTCCTGGACCCGACGGTCAAGCTCCAAAAGGCACCGCTTCTTTCTCGCCCGCTTGACGACGTCCACCTCTTGTCGTCTTCCGCCACGCTCTACGGCGGGAAACTGGCCACGGTCCACAATGGAGCTCAAATTCAAATTTATGTCACATTAAAGCTTACTCCGAACAAGACAGGAATCCATTTCGTTTGGAACCGCGGACTATATGTCCAAGGCTATTCACCAACCATTCACCCGACCACCGAGAATGATCTCTCATCCATTGCCACGATTGATGTCCTGTCGGGATCCGCCGCTTCTCGGCACAGCAACATTGGAACTCTAAAGACGGTTCACGGGACCATAAATGCCATCGCCTGGGGAATCCTGCTCCCTACCGGAGTGGTGATCGCCCGGTACCTGAGGCATGTGCAGGCGCTAGGACCCGCGTGGTTCTTTGCTCATGCCGGGATACAACTGTCCGCCTTCTTCCTTGGAACTGTCGGGTTCGGCATCGGGATTAGGCTCGGGGAATTGTCTCCAGGAGTGGTGTACGGGCTCCACCGGAAGCTCGGGTTTGCGGCTTTTTGCCTCGGCGCGCTCCAGATGCTGGCGCTTCTTTTCAGGCCCCGGACCACGCACAAGTTCAGGAAATACTGGAAATCATACCACCACTTTGTTGGGTATGCTTGTGTGGTAATAGGAGTCGTGAATGTCTTCCAAGGATTTGAAGCAATGGGCTTAGGCAGGTCCTATGAGAAGCTGAGCTACTGTTTGTGCCTGTCATCTTTGATTGGTGCTTGCATAGCATTAGAGGTCAATAGCTGGGTGATTTTCTGTAGGAAGTCCAAGGAAGAGAAGATGAGGAGAGAGGGACTGATTGGTGGTTCTGAGAAAGCGAGTGGAAGCTACAGATTGAATTAGCTCACAGAAAAAATTCGATAGCAACTCGGAGTGTAATACGAAACTCTTTTCTTTCATCATTCCTAAATCGGTTGATTGCATTTCGAGAAATACAACTATTGTCAGGTTAAAGAGTCTCATCAGATCCAGGCTTTCATGTCTGAGAAATCTGTTTCCTCTGTTATACACATTCCTAATTCTGCGAGAGCTGATGATGTGGTTCTCGGTTTCGAGTGATTCTATTTATCTTTTCAATCTGGTGCTTTTGCTCTCACACCATTGGTTTCAGAGCCGACTCGTCGACTTGCATCAGAGTATGCTCAACATGATAGCTGAATGGGGGGATTCTGTACCTTAGTCAAAAACACAATTGTTTAGCTAATGAATTCTCACAGATGAGAAGTAAAATGCATATTCAAAGCACTTCATCGAGGTTCTAGAGCAACACGGCGATGACAGCAACCAAAAAGTCCTATCGCAAGAGATCAGCAATGTGGTTCATTGTGCTCCGCTGCGCACCATTTCGTATCTCGCCTTCTCTTTTATGCCATTATGACATTGTTCAAGAGAATCAAAACCTCAAATGAATAGGTAACTGCTATTCATGAAACAAGGATTTGAGATTGAAGAAGGATGAGGGTATTCCCTACTAGTTAGAGGATAATTACTTGCTCAAATTTTGGATCACCCAGCTTTCGTAAATGAAAAGTACATAAAATCGATTACCCGCTATGACGCCAGGAATTTTGGCTACAAATTTAGCTTGAAGACTGAAAAGAGTACAAAGGTGACATTCCACCTCCACAAATGCCTCTTTCTTTTTGGTAAAATCCATGATGTGCTTCTTTCACAACATGCAAATCGCCATCGATTGCGACGATGCCAAGGCGGTCTCTCTTTAGGTCATCTTCATCATTAGAGGGCTTTCAAAAAGATGATGCAAATAAAGGGTGATCACTTGAGAGAGGGAGAGAGATGCCTTTCTAAAAAAATCTACCTATTGGGACCTGAGCATAGCTAGTGCATGATCTGTTGGACCATGAGAAGATTGTCATTATCATCATCTCATTGTCCCTAAGAAGAAAATATTACTCAGCCAATGGGACCAGAGAGCTCCATCACAGCTCACAAACCTGCTATGTTCCACACACTTTCCTTCTATGTTAGGCCATCAAGCACATGATTACCAGTGAGTGCACTGTACTGGAAACTTCCCCATATGAAAAAGAAATCAAGTTTGACATCTTATGTATACAAACACATCAGTGACTGATGCTTTTCCTAGAGATCTGGTTAACCCAGTGAAGAAACGAAGTGAGATGACAACCACATTAACCAGAGTAACAGAAACTAGTCAACAGAATGGAATGTGTATGACAGCAAAAGATAAGTTTACAAGGATTAAAACAACTTTTTACCAAGAACGTGAAAAAAAGAATAAGAAACTAATCTACACCAAAATCCTGGATTACCACAAGCAAACGCATAAGCGGATATGTCAAAGAAGTACTTCGTACCACGAGATGAAATAAAGTTCAAACCGCGCAAATATGAAGTAACTTGATGACAAACTTAGACTTTGCAATCAAATAAAGCTCAAATGTGTCTCATTAATAGTATCCACGGAAGAAAGAATCGAATTATGTAGTAGCTTATTCCCGGGACCCTACATGGGTATCCCTTAACGTTTTCACACTAGTAAATCAAGAATTCCAGTTACAATCTGCAGAAAGAAAGGAACCTGGACAAGAACTCACAACCTTGCCAGACAATTGAGGAAATAAAAATCTAGGGGAAAAATTTTATCAGTCTATGCTTCTATGTATCGCCACCTCACCAAGGATGCATGATACATTTCCGACTATATCCGAAATCTAATTTTACATCACTCAAGTAGCAGAAAACAACCTAAAGTTGTACCTCAAAAAACTCAAGCCTCAACACAAAATCCTTGTGTAACTTCTATCTGTAAGTTTAATTTTCCAAAAGACAATCCCGTTAGCTCTAAACAACCAATTTCTTTGACCAAAGTTTTAGAGAGATATCCCAGATCATAGTTCACCAGCTTCACCAATTTCTTCTTCACCTACTGCATTCTGAATGTATGGAGATGATCTCCCTAGGAAGCAATGCCTGATGCAAAAAAAAGGCAAACTTGTTAGATCAAAATGCTGAATATTTTGTATACACAATTACTAAATACTTAAATTAAAGGAAGAAAAGATGGATCTCTGTGCAACAATAAATTACTGTTGAATGAAAGCAACTTCTAACATGAAATGGTGATACAAAGGATTTTCACTTTCCAACAAGAAATAATATTTCTATACAAAAGCTGCCTGAACTTCAACATGTAGACAAGGACAGGAGGATAACGACCTCAGTTGGAGCAAATTGACACCTCTACAGAAGCATGCGTGAAACACATATGCATACATGTGATACACAATCATCAGGAAAAAACCAACAAGTACTAGCTACGATGTCTCATGTGATAAAGGTGATTCAAACTTTTAACTTGGACCACGAAATGGTTATAAATTCTAAATATAATACGGTCAACATTCACTACTGATACATCCCGACAGATAAATGCTTAAGCACGACAAAAGTCCATCAATCACAGCCGCACACTAAAAAAGCAATTCAACTTCAGATGGAACAAGTATTCAATGCCCTCATTGTCTGTCTAGTGTTACAACCATCTCCTCCCGAATATCAACACGTGAAAATCCAATAGACCCAATCCAGGATCCATTTTCCTTCATTAAGAAAATGCCTCTCTCCCTCTCTCTCTCTCTCTCTCTCTCTCTCTCTCTCTCTCTCTCTCACGATGGTTTGGAAAGACCATAGATTATCCTTCCTCTACACTAACATAAACAAACAAGGAATATTAGTTGGTGTAGAAATAAGCATTTGGACATACAACTTGGGCCTCTAAGACATGACCTATCAATCGACATCCTCGAACACTCCACCTTGTCATATATTCCATACATCATACTAGATGGATATCGAGATATAATTGAATGAGCATATAAGACCTTAACTATATTGTCGGTTTCATTAAAAGGAAAATGAATGCTTTACTCCTGTGTAGCCATATCTCTTTATTTCCCTCTCTTGATTTTTGTTGGAAATGAAGGACGTGAAGAAGAGAGCTAAGAGAAACATTGGGAGGAAGGTCTAAACTGAATCATTCCCACATTGAATTAAACAAACCCAAAACCCAATTGTATATAATATTCTAAAGATAATTTCACAAACACTGTCTACTCCAACGAAATTAAGAGAGGGTTTTCCACTGCACTCCAACACACAAGGGGTATTTCTCTTGAAAATGGAACCAATCCTCCACATTTAATGGGAGTGCACAGCAGATTTCAGAAAGCATGGGGAGTCCATTAACTTTCATTAAACAGGGGTGTGCTTATGTACCTTTTCTTTCAAGTAGGAAACAAAGGAATTATCAGCATACACATGTTGGAGAGTAGACAAAGTCAATGCAACAGACTCTTGGAACGTAAAAGCACCTCAAATAGCATTTCTAATATATTAGCATTTGCCAATGCATTGGCTTGCGTGAGAGAGAGAGAGACAGAGACAGAGAGAACTTAAAGTAGCACAACAGCAGAAGAAGTGCCAGAAGCTGCCAATATGAGGGTAATAATTTAGTACTACTATGACATTTGCTCCCTAGCATGAAAACTCGTCTGTCACTATGGACTAGAAACTAGTGTTTTTAAGCACATAATTTCAAACAAACTTAACCCAAAAGCAGCACAAAGTTCATGATTTCGCAAGTTGACATTTTCAGTCTGTGCTCTGCTACAACAGAAAAAAAATTTAACCTTCACTAGTATATTAAGCCATCAAGCCATACACAGACATGAAAATGTTTTAGGGGTTTCATATTATTCACTAATCAACCAGAAACTAGTACTTGATAAATCTAGTTGTGCTCCTGCATCTCACACGTAGACTTCTAAAACTGAGCTGAATCAATGCATTTAATAAATCTTGTTGCAAATTATGTAAAATTTTCCAAGATGTTATCTCAAAACATATGAGTAGAGAAATAAAAAGCATATTGACCATTTCATTCATGAAAGTTTTGACAGTTTCATGGCCTCAGTTTCAATTTCACAAGGAATCCTAGTTCCGCTTTTGGGTCATATTAAGTACATGCAAAGGTCAAATAGTACTCAAGACAAGCTTAAATGTTTTGATATCCTAATCCGGAATCAAGGGTCAGATGAATTTGTGAGCATATACCCAGGAATCACAGCACAGCTGGTACTGGTAGCACCAAAAGAGTAGACAGACAAATTTTACATTTACCCTCATTATCCCTGAAAATACTTGCAGTGGATCTTTAAGACAACCATGAAATAAAGGTTCAATTGAAATTTGCAATTCTGAATGCATGCGCAACTGCATTAATTACAGAAGCTAAACTCTTCAAGAAAGTTCTCGTGCACATGCAGCTACGACCTAAAGCTCAGCCATGTGAAAGTTAAGGTTCTTAACACAACTATCTCGCCCAACACAAACCCGCCCAAATACAGCCATAGTAGGAGATAAAGCCCTCGAGAAAATTCTCAGCACATATGCTGTTGGAAAAGCTTCACCAGGTAAAAGTTAAGCTTCTTATGCACTTACTTATCCACCCCACAAAAAAATCACACATAACCATTACATTATTAAGGAGAAAACAGTGCAATCAGCCTATCACCATATGCCAAAGGATAAATCGTGGCAGCATGGTGTAGCACCACCAGGAATTAACAGCCAACACTGTCAAATTGGATGGTCCAAAGGATCTTCAGAGATGACATAATAGGGTTCTAAGCCATATGTAAAACTTTCACATACCAAGCAACCTCATAAGTAAATGAAGTTATACCTATTGTCCTACTGGGCCAGAGGAATCAGTGGGACACCCTGGGATTTCATCATTTAGGATCATCTTAAGAAAAACCCCAATAACAACAGATTAGAATCTCGCGTAATAGTTATCTATTTTTTTCCTTAATTTGAGGACATAAAATCATCTACTTCAGGAACAGGCTTAGTCATGGCAGAAGAATGATGGCTAGCAATCCAAAAAAAGGGAAGAACTGGTGGCATTTGTGATAGACTGTAATAGAGATAGGGGAGACGAAATTAATGGATAATGAGTATTTCTTTTAACAGTGTAGAATATTTGTCTCAGAGCAATATTGTTCAACTATTGCAAACATTAGAATCAAAACAACTGACTAATCTGAAATGCGCCCCTAAAAGAATGATCAAACAAATATACCAGGATAAAAGAATTGTTCTTCCCCTTGACATATGGAAAGGAAAATAAAAGGTTCTTTCAAAAAAAAATCTTTGTTGAGGAATCGTTAAGAAGTACTAAGAGGAGTTTAATAAATTGCATGGAGATCTCAGAGTGAGACATTACCTCTAGTTCACTCTCTTATTGACGCTGTAATCACCAACATAACCTGGAGAACTTTTAGCTGAAACATCTGAAGCAGCATTGCCAATTCCATAACCAAATGAACCAGATCCTCCCCTCTCAGGATTTGGCGGGCGCCAAGTAGCATCACCATACACTGAACCACTTGCATAAAGGTCTGCAAAGGCACCATCATAAGCACCATTTGATGTACCATATGATGATGTCAAGGGGCCACCAGATCTGCTGTTTCTTCCATACCCCACACTGCCCAATGCGTAGCTGTTGCTACCACCTCCATAACCAAAATTTGCACTATCATTGGAGGCGCTGTTTCCACCGCCTTGAGCAGTAATTGGTGAGGAGGTCCAATTAATAGCACTACCGCCAAAGCTGTTTCCTCCGATGCCCAAATTTCCTCCTGTATTGGTGTTGGAGCTTGTAGGGTTCGTGGCCTGATTCAGGCCCCCATTTCCCCAGAGATTCCGAGTCACTGAACTGAAGAAGGAAGAGCTTCCTCCATTGCCTCCTTCGTATCCAACTGTGCTGTTAAATCTATTGGAATTGCCAACGTAATAAGGATTCAGTCCCCGGCCATAGCTGATGTTGTTACTGAAATTTGTATTGCCGCCGTAATTTGGGTTAAGCCCTGTCTCAAAATTCATGCCAAATGCTGGGTATCCACTTCGACCTCCTGCAACCGGACTAAACCTACCATCCATCCTAAGTCCATATCCTCCCACAGCACTTGGGGTATATCCCTGAGTGTATCCACTGAGAAAGCTATTGACACGACTCATCCCATAATTATACCCACCAAGTGGGCTACGACTTGGACCTGGTGATAGCTCCTTGGGAACTGCTCTCTTCACCTCAACCATTTTGCCATTCAGTTCATGAAAAGTATTGAGCAACACCTTGTCCACAGCTTCCTCTGTATCATAAGTGATAAACCCAAAGCCTCTAGGCCTCTGGGTGTTGTGATCATACATTACCACAACATCTGTGACTGTACCAAATTGCTCGAAGTACTTCTTAAAGTCACTCTCAGTTACTGTGGATGCTAAACCTCCTACAAAAATCTTCTTGGTGCGGCCAGGGCCAGGAGAACTATGAATGCTGCCGCTGTTCCTACTCAGAATATTCTGGTCATCCCTAGGAACAGCTTTCTTAGCCTCGACCTGAGGACACAGAACTTGATGATCAAGAATAAACCTCATGTAACTGCAACGTACTAGCTCCGAAATCTCCAATTGAGAGAATATGGGACAAAGAATGTACTCATACAGAAGGAGAAGGGAAAAAAAAAGAAAAAGGAAGTGTTTGCAAATATCACATTGAGTTTCGAATTTAGTTGAATACAGAATCCTGCAATTACAATGTTGGACTTGTAATCTCAATAGAAAGTCAAAGCATTTACATCACCATGTATAACAATTCATAATTAACCCTCGAGAAAGAAATATCAGAGTAATAAGTAGACTTGCTGAGATCACTCACTCACCATCCGGCCATCGATGTTGTGCTTATCCTTGATGACTCTTTCGGCAACAGCCGGATCCGCAAAAACGACAAAACCGAAACCGCGGGCACGACCCGTGGTTCGATCCTTCATGATGATTGCCTCCACCACCTCTCCATAAGCACCAAAGTACTCCTTCAATCTGTCCTCATTTGTGTCCCACGATATTCCACCGATGAATAGCTTCCCATTATCAGATTGCATTGCCTCTACAATTCAAGATAATCATCTCATCAATCAAAACACACGCCACTCAATCCGAAATACTCACAATACCAAGAGAGCAAAAGGTGAGCACTTCAAAGACGGAATGAAAAACCCATTTCCACTAGAAACCACACAGTCCGTATAAGATCCACCCGATTTCAATCCACAATTGAAAACCGATAAATCATCCAAATCGAGCAAACAAAAACTGTCCACGAATCAGAACCGAATTCACCTAAACACCATCCACCCAAAAACCGAAAAGGAGCAATAAAAAATGCACACACACGACCAATCCCAGAACACATATCAATACCTTCTGTCGACAGATGAGCACGAACCGCGAGCTCGATGCCAAGCCAAACAAATAAATTATCAAAAAAAAAGTACAATCTTCAGATTCAAGACCGAAGCAGCATAAGATCCTCGCCTCGCCGACCCCAGAACTCAATCCCACCTAATCAAAACAAACAACCGAGCCCATCCAATCCATCAAGATCCAAAAACCACCCAATTCTTGAAAATCGAAAACGACCCACGTCCAGATTCGCACCGATCAGGACACAAACCCGGGAGACGCCGAATCTCGCGACGACACCGCTAAGATCTGACGACCAGAACAAGAACAACAGCCGGAACTGAGGGCATGATCTCCATATGCCCCCCCACCCCACCCCACCAAACCACAGCCCGTGTCCGTGAATCAATCGTTTTTATTCCCGATAAAATTCCAAATGCATATTCAAGTGCCCAGGAAACCAAAATATGCTTTTTCTTTTTTTATTTTTCTTTATTTTTTCCCCCACTTTCTTCCTTCCTTTTTCCTCAGAAAGAGAGAGAGAAGGAGGAAGAGGAAGAGCTGAGAAGAAAGAGAGAGAAGAAGAAGAAGGATTGCAGCATCCGGTGAATGGAGTATATATAGACTTTGATAATGGAATTTCCCTTTTTTTTTTTACGAATTTTCGAGAAAAAATTCGATCTTTTTCTCTTTTTTACAATGCGGGTGAGAGATGGATTTGGTTTGAAGAAATTGGGGGAAGAAGGGAAAGGGAGGAGCAGAAAAAATGAGAAATTTCTCTTTTGGGTATTTTTCAGCGCTGATCTGGTGATAAAAATGGAGGAGAGATGGTTTGGCTTTTCGCTCCCTTTTATACTTATTGGAGAGACATGGCCGTGTTGCCTGCTCGCACCGGGCTGTTGTCCCCTGTGCCATCCCATTGGCGGAGGAGACTGGCCGTCGATCTTGCTGACTTCCTCCTCTCCCCCCGGGGTGTCGATCGGGGGCGATCGGGTCGAGTTTCTTCCTCGGGTTCGGCGGTCGGCGGGTCGAGACGGGGCGGCGGGAAAATGCACGAGCGCGGTTGTTGCCGTGTCCCGTCGTCGGCCGACTCGGTAAGTGGGTGTTCGGTGAAAACGCGGCGTTCGGGGGCATGTGATCCCGACCATGCATCCTCATCCATAAATTTATCTCGCCAGATGAGATATGAGTGTCACCTTCCAAATAATACGAGCCCGATTGCTACATATCCCGTCATCACCGGCCTAGGTAACTAGCGTCCAATAAAAACACGGCATTCGGGGGTATGTAATTTTGACCCTACATCATCATTCCTAACTTTATCTCGCCAAACAAGCTATGAGTGTTCTATTCCAAATAATACGAGCCCGGTTGCTACATGTCCGGTCATCACCCCGCTAGGTAACTGGCATCCAATAAAAATACGACACTTGGGGGGTATGTAATCCCGACTCTACGTCATCGTCCCTAAATTTATCTCGCCAGACAAGATATGAGTGTTACCTTCAAATCAATACGAGCCTAGTCGCTTCATATCCCATCATCGCCGGACTTGGTAAGTGGAGTCCAATAAAAACATGGCATTCAGGGTATGTAATCCCGAACCTACATCCACATTCCTAAATCCATCTAGCCAGACAAGATACGAGTGTTACCTTCTAAACATGTTGGCATGCCAGATGGATTCACATTTCCTCGATAAAAAGGGTAGTTGCGAGATTAACAAACCCGTCGATAAAGCCCGTTAGAGCGCCGGAAGCTAGAAAGCTTCTCCAGACAAGGCAACAAAAATGCAATTTACCAGTTCACCAGATTACTGTCATTCGCGACACGGCTCGACTGTAAATAACCCCTTTTATTGCCATGCCGCGTCGCAGGTGGATTTAATTTCGGAATTTCGGTCGGTCTTTTTGGCTAAACACCGGAATGTTCTCTTTCGATCAAAAGGGCATTGGGTGCTCTTCATCTTGATGTGCAACTCCATATGTGGAAAGGATGAAAGATTGCTTGCCTCCTTTTGGGCAAAGCCATGTACACAATACGATCATACATGGGAGACTTTAGATTACTTAGGGGAGGGGGAGAAAAGGGGTGAAAAATATACAATAAAAGAGGGAGGGAGGGGACAAATCAACAAGGATGGTGAGGAGAATGTTTGATGCAAAGGGTTGTATGCAAGGCAAGGCAAGGTAAGGCAAGGCAATCTCATGGGTGTTGGTTGGATTTTGGGGGTTTGCAATGGAGAATTGCGTTGACTTTTTAAGGGTCAATGCAGTCTTTTTCCCCCCCACCCTTTTTCTTTCCTTCTCCCTCTCTCTCTCTCTCTTTTTTCCGTACGCGGAGAGAGGGAGTTGCGTCAATATTTTGCCTTGTGTAGTAAGGGTCGTTCTCTTGATCATTAATGCATACCATGTTTTTTTTCACATTTTTTGGTGGTCATTTTCTTGGCCATTTTTTCTTTCCTCTTGTGATGTCCAAACACAAAGTTCATTCATTTTTTTTCCAATAATGATATTGTTATTCTATATTGTCTTATTTTCCTTCTTCTTCTTCTTTCTTCATTTAGGGAGATGTGCTCGAAATTAATAATGTTTTTTTACGGGCTTTAGCTGCCAAAATTATGTAATTTTTGGGGGAAATAATGATAATACTTGAGGCTACTTGGCATTGAACTTTAGGATTTCACTCTTATTGAGATTTATTTCTTGTCATGGAGCTCTGACTAAGCCCAAATTCGTTACTTTGTCGTTAAGCCGACGATCCTGCTCCAGATTTTCATGAAAATGTGCTAGAACTTTTTCTTGGCTCGACATGTCCACAAAGTCATTGCACTTGTTAGGCGATCACAAAGTGTTTGGATTCCCGCACTGAATTCATCATAAAATCAATTAGCCCCGTGAACAACAACGGCGTGTCATTTCTAAGATCTCTTTTTTTTTTTCTTAGAGTGATTTCCCGGACTATTTTTTCGTCGAACAAACACATATTATATTTCTACATGCACAAATATCTACAAGTCCAATCAAAAGAAAGATGGTGCACGAACTACAGAAACTTATCAGATCATGGATTCACGATATCAACTTGTCTGTGCAATCGAGCTACAAAAGAGAATAAAGAAAATGGAGAAAACCCAAAATTTGGTAAAGTCTTAATAAACGAAATTACTTATATAACCAAATAAAATGGGCAAAATATTAATAAATTGAAAAAATTGACCGAGAATATTTGGGCAATTAAGTCAGCAACACCCCTTCGTGCACCCCACTAAAAAAACAGTCATTGTTTTTAGGCATGTTTCGGTGGCAAATGGCCGGTCCTTTTTTTCTTAATTTTTTTTATATTTCATTCATTTGCTGTTTAATTATAGGCCAAAATCTCTCCCAACTAATCCCATAGCTTCACCATTAATTTTGATTAAGAGATATTAATTTTATATAAAAAGCTTATGATCAAATCGGAGGTCACCCCGACCTTAATTATTAGTCCAAGCAAAAGGGCTGGGTTTATTTGTGAATTCCCGATTAATTCTATCGTGAAACGGATCGGCTTTTAACGCGATCGAATAGCTTTTTCCGTACGGTCCGGAACCATAACAGTTTTGGTGGTTCTTACGGAAGCAGGGAGCTCGGACCACATCTCAAAAGCAAGAGAATTCGGGCCGCACGGAACCGGAACCCCGTCGATGACGATACGGAGGGCACGAGCAAAGTCGGATTTTTCTCGATTTGAGATTTGTCGCGAGGGTTTTACTAGATAGTTTGCCTCGTGTGTTGAAATATCGTGCATCGCTTGCTTGTCACATTGGTCGGGCGTTTCTGTACCGATAATGATCGATGAAACACGAGCTACATGCAACTTTGAATGGGGTGAAAGTCTTCCTAAGTCCTTCTCCAGTCAGCCTGCAATGCCTGAGAAAATTCAAGCAAATGGACTAATTAAGGAGGAGTTAGGTGCCTTAAGCAATTACTTTCAACAAGAAAATGCTGGCATTTGTTTCTTTTTCTCTCTTCTTTTTTTCTTTCCATTTATTCTAAGCTTGGGTTGTCTACGACGACTAATTTTGCTCTCGTAGTCGTAGCAGTCAAAATTATTTTAGAAAAAAGTAATGCTGCCCAATTTTCAGGATTGGTTATTATGCTTCATCTTTGTGCAGTCAAAAATGAAATTCAATTATAAATCTATATATAAAAAAGGGAAACAAAAAAAAACCAAAACTTAGTTATAGTTAAAGTGATCAAATTATCATATACTAAGCGTTTAATTAGGAACGTGCGACTTGTCAGGTCTTACGTAATCTTTCGCAAGAACAGACTGAACCGGTTAATTTCGGGTAATGCATTTTTGTATATTAATTGTGTCGCTAGAGCTAACATAATTATCGCACAAGTATCGCAAATCCGAATTTGCTAATCTCGTGCCGAGGCTGAGTTGCGTGCTCGTGCTGTGCAGAAAATCGTCACCCGATGTTCGAATTGTCGATGGTGTATTTGAAAAAAAAAAAAAAACAGTGTATCTAATAAAGTATTCAATATAGTGTATTTTACATAGCAGTTGATAGTGTATTTAAAAAAGGGTGAGAAAGTGCAATTATATTTCACATATAAATGACGTAGAAAAATCGTATATAAAGTATAGGCCAAAGTACATTTTTTTTTTGGGGCCAATACTCTTTAAGTAAAGTAAATTAAAATCATTACAGTGGTTGGGGAGGCATTACAGGTTATATAAACATATACATATACAAATATATATATATGGATTTAGCAAAAAATATATATATATAAATATATATGGAGGGGTTGTGACGAATGATAAGATAGAAGCTGGCATGTTAGCTGGTCTTTCCACAATAAGGTTAATTTTTCTTTTATATGAATTTCATGCATTGTTTTTTGGCTTTGCCTCTTTATTAACGCCTGATTTAAGCACATTAATATCTGCGTGACCCTTTTATATTTACCCACGCAACAACCACTCGACACTCGAAAGCAATCATTGGGTGCTTCGAGATCAAGAGAATGCAAGTTGCAACCAATGCTTTTGACATCTTCTTTTTATAACTGGGGACACCAATGAATGCATTTTGACCTTAATTGTCTAGTTTAGATCTAGAGTTACCAAAGGGTAAAAAGGTGATTCCATCGGGTAACCACAAGTGCTCAGCTTATCTCAAGAGTACCAACTCAAAGGCATTAATACATATGTGGTATATTTTGTTTAATTTTGAATTATATATGTGTGGGTATAATATTATTTAGTAGATGCCTATAACTATTAGTTGGGGCCACACACATAAGTTAGATATTATTTGTTAAGAGTTTTAACGGGACTCTAAACTTACAGGATATCGAGAAGTTCTCGACCGTGCCCATTCCTCGTACCGATCAGAAATTGAGCGAGCCTTTGGCGTATTGAAAAAGGAGTGGAGGACTCAAAAGAATATGGCAAGCTATCCATACAAAAAAGCAACTAAAAGTTGTTGGTAGCAACAGTGACTTTATACAATTATGTACGGCGAAACACCATGAGCCGAATCCCATTTATGGACATGTATTTGAACCATTGATTTAAATGAGGGGTCGGTGCTTCAATTTGATAACACATTGTCTGACGTAACAAGGTCACGAAATTGCTATAAGTTTAGTATAAAATTGAGGATGCTTATAATTTTGGAGAGTTCGTCTTCCTTTCCATGGCATATGTGATCATGTTTGTTATAAGGAAATTATTCCCTTTTTAATTGAGAAAGAGTCCACTTCAATGTTTTTTTTTTTTTACATTCACCAATTCATTAATACAATGCTATATTTGTCAAATATGATTTTTTTTAACATTTACAAACTTGTTAAATATTTTTTCAACATTCAAACTGTAAAAATCGCTATCATTGTTTCTTTTTTTTTCCAATTTTGAACAAATTAAAAAGTAAAAAACTTAAATTGTCCCCATTAAACACCACATAAAACATCAAAGGACTTTTGACATATAGGGTCTGTTTAGTAACGTTTCTGTTTCTTTATTTTTCTGTTCTTTTGTTCCCCGGAACAGAAAAAGAACAGAAATCCGTTTAGTAAAAAAAATCTATTTTTTTGTTTCTGGAACAAAAAAGTATTCCAGAAATAGATTTGAAACAGAAACAAGAAGCAAAAAAAATCTGCTTCTTGTTTCTGGAACAAGAAAAAAAGAAATGATTTTTTTTCTAGAATTCTCCAAAAATAAGAAACAATCCATCGGCCGCAACCCGCCCACCGTCGCCTCTCGCCGTCCTTCGCCACCACCTACCGCCCGCCTTCCGCCGCCGACTCCCGCCGGCCAACGCCCGCCGGCCAACGCTCGCCGGCCGCCTCTTGCCGTCGACCACTGTTCTCCGCCGCTCGACGCTTGTCGCTACCCGCCACCGGCCGCCGTCCTCCACCGCTGGCCGCCGTGCTCCATCGCCCGACACCGGCCGCCACCGGCGGGCCGCCTCCCCGCCAACCACCGGACACCGGCGATCACCCACCACCGGTTGCCGTCCTCCGCCGCCGCCGCCATCAACCGGCCGCCATCCTCCTCCGCCGGCCATTGTGCTCCACCACCCGATGCCGGCCACCACCCGGCCATTGGCCGCCCTCGGCCGCCAGGCCGCCTCCCGCCTCGGCCACCCGACGCCGCACGGTCACCCACCATCGGCCGCCATCCTTCGCCACCAGCCGCCGTGCTCCATCGACCGACGATGGCCACCCTCCACCGCCAGCCACCTCCCGCCGCGCCCCCAGCTGTCGTCACCGCCGCCCGACGCCACCGTGCTCCGCCGCTGACCGCCGTGCTCCACTGCCTCCCACCGCCGGCTGCCATCCTCTGCCGCCGCCGACCACCGTCCTCCGCCCCCCACCGCCACCCGCCGTCCTCCGCCGGTAACCCTGAAGGGAGAAACTCGTCCATGGAATAGAAATGGATCATTCGCGCCCTAAACGCGTTTCTATTCTTTTTCTATTTCAGGAATAGAAATTTTGTGCAATTACTAAACGCTATTTTTTGCTCAGAAACTGTTCCAAGAAATAGAAATAGAAAAAACTATTTCTGATAAAAAAATTGTTTCTGGGAACATAAACGTTATTATGCAGACCCATAGTCTTTTCCAAAGGGCAATCATATCAAAATTTCTTCCCAACATATTTTTCCCAGTTACAATCGTCAAACAGTCAATCACTTTCACTTGCCGTACTTCGACTCGGAACATTTTTCTCTAAATAAGCTTTTGAAATGATAAAGTTCTCTCAAACTCACCCTAAATATTTCAGTCTCTTCTACGACACGCAGTCCTCGTGCGGTGCGACTTAGCAACATGCATTTCATCGAAATCAATGACTACACTAGTGCCTTAAAAAGATAAGTCGAAAACGAGGTGAAAAATAGCAAACCCATCTTGTTCTTTCTGTCCCTTAAACTTGTCCATTACCACCGACTTCATTTCCCGTTTCATTCCACTTCGTTATTCAATTCTGTAGCTAAAGGTTTGGTTGATGCTTGATGATAGTACATTCCACTCCAGTGCTGAAAGCAGCTGCTTTTTCACAGGCCAACATACATGGGATCTACTTGGAGGGAGTGCAGGGTATGTAGTAATTAAGTAATCTATTTCGATGTAATTAAGAACTAATTATCCTTGGAAAACCTGAAAACAAAAAATTAATAAAAAAAGAGGGAGAGAGAGAGAGAAGCGAAAGAACCGGTGAGGCATAATTCTTGTGTTACCCACTCACACAGCAATCACAGCTCTCACCCACATCCACATGTGGAAAAAGAGAAGAAGAAAGACCCCTTTGCTCTTCCAATCTCATCATGTGATTATGGAGCATCCAACCCCCACCTCCACTCTCTTTCTATCCAAAAGGCAGGCAAACCTCTCCCTCTCCCTCTCCCTCTATCCATCTCTTTCACTTGAACTCCAATACTGTAATTGTAACCTGTGAATGACATTTGATAAGTTATGTATGATGGGCAAGACTAGAGCAAGCACTTCTAAGCTCGGTACCCGACACGACTCGACCCAACATAATCCGACCCGCCCAGACTTGCTCATTGATCTTGAGTCTTGATTCATCAGTTGGATTCAGGTAGAGAGTTTAAAAGAAAAATAATGGTATGGCATTAATAGTTGCGTACTGTCTTTCGGAGATTCAGTTTGTTTAAACTTCTCGTTGGAACAAAGATGAGAGGCTCATTGCGGATCGCAGATTAGGTGCCCGAGAAGTCCAGATCAGAATTCAGATACGCGTAATTATGTCCATCTTCGATTAGTTTGCGTCGATGTGCATGCTTCAAAGATAACACCTCTTCGTTTAGAAGATCAGTCTGGCGTTCCTCTCTGCATCATCACTGTCAATAGCTGATGCAAATTAGCATATAGGACCTCAATGCCTCGCTGTTTTAAATTTCAAGCCTACCTTTACCTTCAAATCAGCTAGCTACATATCAGAATAGGAGCAGCCACCTTCAGTTTCTCAACCCGTGCGAGCAAAACTGCCCCAGAAGAAACAAATGACGGACTCCTGGTGACCGTAAAACAGCCCCTACCCCCTCGCTGAGTCTACTAAATCGACAAATGCAAAGAAGCAGCATCCATCCTTCACTAGTGCCAGAAAAATTATCAATCCCGAATGCCAAAATCCCCCACAAACACCACATCTGTAGATTGTAGATTGTAGCTTGTTGTCCCATTTCAAGAAAGATCTTAAGCAAATACCGAGGGTAGAAAATCTCATATTCACGTTAAAATGTCATTTGTTTGGTTCCCACTGTGACCAATTTTGCTATGTTAACCATGTAAAGCTCTTAAACAATCTGCAAACTTTCAAAAACCGATGACTGCAACATCCTGGAAAGTAAGTGATATTGCTAAAACTTCAGCAGCCCCAGCTTTCTAAAATCTTTCTCCATTCATTGTCCACACACTAGTACTTAGTAATACAGACAATCGCCAAATCATTGCTAAAACTTCAGCAGCCCCAGCTTTCAAAAATCTTTCTCCACTCATTGTCAACACTAATACTTAGTTATACAGACAGTCGCCGAATCAAGCAACCTAGCTAAGACCACAGCTGTTAAGGAAAAATCTTAAACACTGGCACCAAAGTATTTAAGGAAAAATGAAGAAGGAAAGAAAAGGTAGCTTTCATCTCATTCGACATAATGGTTTTAAAAGTGCCAACAGAAACATCATCAGAAGCAACAAGAACACATAAATAGCAACTGCGGAGATATAGCCCCCTCAACCTCGGCATAGACCTATATTAAGTTGATGAAGATGACTATACATCCAACCCCGGTGAGGAATCCTAATGACTGAAGCTGAAAACTCCATATGCAAAGTGATAAGTTTATATTAGCTATATGTATCCACCTCGAGCAGATTCGAATTCCCCGTCCCAGAAGCAGCTGAAAACAGACATGATACACAACTTACCTATTTGTCTGTCCTCGAATATACCTATTCTTGCACTTCAACCACAAATGAAGCAAAATGTGGCTACTTTTATTCCAATCACAATTTCAAATTCACAAATGCATCAGCTGATTATCTACCCAGAGGCTCCCCGTCGAATTAACAAAATGACAATCTTCAACTTTTTTGGATTCAGTATTACCTTCTTTTCTCTCTGGAAAAAAAAAAACAGCATAGTCTACTGCTAAAGAAGGAACCTTTCCAGGGTCCTTAAGTATCCTTAGAATTTACATCGAAACTGTAGCCTTTGACCAAATATCTTAAACAATGTGACGGTTATGAAAATAGAGATACTAAACAAGAAACAGCCACATCTTTTAGAAAGTAAAAGAACATATCTGCTCCAGCAATAACATAAAGCCAGACTTCCAGAGACTATCACTGTTCGCTTATTTATAGCACACAACCTATTGCCAAGGAGGGTTCAAATTCTCTTTTACAGAAGGAGATCTGGAATCCAAACTCCCATCTCTACCAAACCTGGAAATGCTCCTGACACTTTTGGGAGTCCGAGTTCCGGGGCTTGCGCCTCGATAACTAGCTCGAAGTGATTCATCAACCGAAGATGTAGACCTGGAAATCGCATTCCTCACGAACTTCTGGGCAGCGGGAGAAAGCGTCCGCATACTTGGACTGGCACTCCCCCCTCTGACAGGTGATGGAAGTGGTGGCTTCTGGAACATTTTAGACCTGTCCCTCAACTTTCGAGCAGCCTCTCTGGAAAGCAGATGAGCCTTTACATCTCGGGCTGGTGCCGATGGGATCATGAAGTGAGGCCGGTCTCCACTACCACCGATATCAATAGGTGTGTCCTCGGGCTCCAACCTCAACGGAGTTCCCTCGATTTCACCCCACGTGATGAACGGCGACTCATCAACACCCGGCATAGGTGAAGGAGTCCTAACAAAACTATAGCCATTCTCGGCCATTTTACCTGACTCGACATAAAATGGATTAGGGGTCTTCCTCAAGTCGTCCAGGTCATACTTCTTAACCTTGTCCCCGTCCCTAGCCGACTTCGGCATAGGAGAAGCACCCGCGATCGGCGTATACAAAACCTCGACCGTGCCATCATCTTTCGGCCTCGAATCCATTATCTTACCATGAAACCTAGTATTAGGATAACTCACTTCCTTAGTTAAACCCTTGATCCTAACAGCCATTTCCTCCTCCGTCAACGGAGCCTCCCCCCGATCGGCAGGATGGTACATCAAGAGATTCTTGGGCGTATATTTCCACCCTTCTAAAGTACTCACCGGCTGATCCGACGTCCCGTACCCGTCCGTAATCCTGTTCCTCTCGACGCCCTCGATCGCCTTCACATCCTCCGTCTCGCCTTCCAGCAAGTACCCGTACCTCTCCTTCTTCTTCTTATTGACCTTCTCCAGGATCTTCGAGAAGCTCTCGTTATCCTCGCTCGTGTACCGCCTAAAGAACTCGTCCAGCGACAGCGAGGCATCGATGCCGGCATCGCCCTCCTCCTGCCCCACTTCTAAACCACCTAGCCCGTCCCCGCCCAAGGCGGCGGCGGCGGCGGCGGCGCCCCCAGGAGTCCTCGGGGTCTTACCGTCGAACTCGTCGAGAGGGGTGAAATTGCGGGCGAAGGTGGAGCCGGGGGTCAGGGTCTGCGTCCTGCCCCGGGCGCTCGTGCCGCCGCCGCCGGCCGCCCTCCGGCCGCGGCGCTCCATGATCTTGAGCTGGGCGTCGCGGATTTGGACGGGGTCGCCGGTCCGGATGGCCTCGAGCCAGTCGAGGCGGTCGCGGAGCTTCGATATGTCGGGGAAGAAGTCGCGCTCGATGATCCTCTCGATCGCCGACACGTAGGTGTCCTCGTCGAGGACCGCGGCCCGCTTCCGGGGGTTCGCCGGAGGAGGGGCGGGGGCGGCGGCGGCGGCGGCGGTCGGGGGCTTTAGGGATTCGTCGTCGGGGGCCGGACATGGCGATGGGGAGGGGAGGTGGCGAGGGGAGTGGCCGGGAGAGAGGAGCATCGTTGCCGGGAGAGGAAAGATCGGAGCTTTCTTTTGGGGGAGGAAGCGGAGGTCCGATTTAGGGTTTCCTGATTCTGGCCCCCAATTTGAAGAAGATGATGGACGGTGGTCGCCGACGTTATTCCACGCGATACGCGTTCATTTCTTACTGGATTTTTCGATTTGATTAATTTGGAGCGGTTTTTTTTTTTTTTTACTTTTTCGGCCGAATTGTTTAGAAATCACACGGAAAGTTATCTTATTTATTACTTCTAGTTACAAAATTTTTTTTTTCTCTCTAAAATCAGAAACGTTATATATATTTTTTAAAATTCAAGTTTCGCATCGAATGAAAAATCAAATTACGAGGGTCACAAAAATTTTGAAAAACTAAAAGTGGGAACTCATCCTAAAAAATAACTCTTACGTCGAATATGTGCACTTTGGGTATTTCCTCGAAAAATTACTTTAAGGAAATTTGCGAATAAGCAACTCTTGCCGATTCGCTAATAACTTGATAAGCAAATTTGGTCCGTCGGAAAAAAAGAAAAGAAAAAGAAACAATTTTGACACGTTGTCGTGATCAAAAATTGGAAGAAAAAAAAAATCCACAGGCACATCAACAATCATTAAAAAATGTGCATTAGATTTCCGAAAATTTGGCAGTAGGGTTTAACCCTGATTCAGCATGAACCGCAAGTAAGATTATGAACAATCAAGCCCAACATGAATTTGAAGTGCAGTCGAGGTTTGGATGCGAGCGGATATATCAGTCAGCATTCCATGCGTTCTTCAATTTGCAGATTGCTGGTGTTCTTCTTGTAGCGGTATCGCCGTTTCCGTGTTCAGCTCCGACTCCATCTAATTCTCTGATTCCTAGGTCGAAAAACGCCAGATTGATCAACGGGAATGGGCTTGTTGAACATGTGAAAAAATGGAGCAGGCGTGCATCAGAATGCTATCTTCGCTTTGCATTCATCTTTCGGTGGCCTTGGGAATGAGATATTTCGAGGGGTGGACGTCATCTCTATGACGGACAAAGTCCGCTTTCCGTCGGATCCAACATCAGGAAATACCCGCGACTGGGAACAGAACACGCCACGATCCAGGGCTTCCCTCTCTGGTCTCGGCCGCCCATTTGTTGGGTCAGCATGCTGGGGGTGTTGATTCAATGCAGCAAAGCACGAAAGAAGCGGCAACAATTCCCGAATGCAGCACGGCTCCAGAGTGATTAGTAGTAGTTTAGTACCAGCTTCAGTTCCAGGAAACGGTAATTACGTCGACCGGATCAACCCGTGAGGTCGAAATGAGATGAAAGCATGTCCAGGCTGCAAACTAGATGACAATGATTCTGCGCAGTCTTGCCTGTTAGCCCAATCTCTTCACTTTGTGAGTCATGGATCCCCTACTCATCATCAAGATCCTTACTCCGTTACCAATTCAGTGTTGGCTTTTCTGAATGCACGACGAGTTGCCTCGAGTGATCATGTGATTGAGAATCACCACATTAAAATGTCCAGCTGCGACAGGCGGCCCGTTTACTTCTCGTGCTAAACAATCGCAAATGTTACTACCTTTCTCCTTGAACCTGCCCTGGAAACCAAATCTTTTCCATGTGAAAATTTTCCTGTCAAGACGCAGCTGTCCTGAAAAGCTTAAAAAGCCCAATTGAGGGCAGATGTTTAAAATCCCTGGATAGATAGGAACCCACTTATGCACTTACTAATCCTGAGGCCTCATTTTGGGTTCTTGAATTGGGCTTTTTCATCGTCCGACAGTATTGGAACCCTGAAATCCACGAGAACTTCTCGATCCTCATGGACTGACACATTCCTAGCCCATTTATCCTACTAATTGCTTCCCAGATGTCCTTCTCATGCTCATCACTCATCACCCTGCCTGTCTCTGTCAATACAGCAAAGATTTTTTCCGAAAGCACACACGCTCACTAGGCCATCACTCTAAAACTGCAATTGCCATTTCAGGGTCAATAAAATCTTTGCAAAATCACAGTAGGATCCACGCCTCCTATCGTATTCATGCAACAATTGACGCCAAGCCCCACATGGAGCGCGCTGTGCAATGCAAATCTGGCCTCAGTGGCCCAAAAAAGTCAATATTCCTATGAGCAGAGCAGCGACTTGATTGTCGCATCACAACCACCATGTTCTTTTCCCTTTCCTTCTTCAAATATGTGGGGAACCTATCGACTCCCAAGAAAACAGAAAAGGCAAGGCAAGACAAGACAAATATACAACTCTGCTTGAATCCTAAACCCCACCAATGCCTCGCTGTCCTCCATTTCAGGGTCTACTTAGTTGGTTGAAGCTGACAACTTTATAAATGTTTTTGTGGGCTATCATCTGTCCCCCACTCACGTATCAATCTAATCTAAGCGGAAGCCACGCTGCACAAATAGATCAGATGGATATTTCTATTTCAGGTACTGTCTTACCGACACGTGAACCAATCAAGATTCTTCAAAACTATATCGTCTTCCTCCTCTTATGTTGCGTGAAAACGTCGCAAATCAATTAGACCGTATCGACTTCAAACGTTTCGGAAGCAAGAGGGCCACGGAAACTTTAACAGCGTCATTCTGAGTGACAGCGCAGCTAATTACCGGAAAACTTGCATTGCATGAACATGGACCCACGTTTGAGTTGGTAGCGTAGGGTCTATGCAAAAAATTAAGAAAAGCAAAGACCAATCATATGATCATCGGGACCCCCCGCAAAGCCATGCGCAAAAGGGGGAGTAAACAAAAGCCACATGATCGCTGATAGTGACCCAAAGAGTGTATATATATCATTGGATATAGAATTCGTGATTTCTTCTTTTATGTACCAAGCAAAAACATCCTTTCTTTTCAATTCTCTGTAGGCAAATATGTACTTAAAAACAGCAGCTTCTCGCATTCTTCTTTCTCTGCACAATTTCTTTACTTCCTTTCTTCAACTATAACAGCAAGACTACTATTACTAAACTTCTCCTCTAACACACCTGCTCGTGCCTTTGATTCTGTATAAAACCCCTGTAGTGAAATTAGCTTCTTCTCTGTATCAATTCTTTTGCCTGACCTACTTTAGCCGGTGAAACACGAGGACTTCACATCGCGCTTCCCTCCTGAGCAGCTAGTTGAAACCGCAGAAAAGATGAAGGAAACAGAAAAGAGAGAAAAGTCCGGTTGTATGTCGAACTCGCCAGATAGAATTCGAGTTCTTTGGTCCTCTATAGTTGCTTTTTTTTCTCCTGGTTGTCTATGTAACTGTTGAAATTCCAGTCCCTATTGCAGAGGCGAATGGGCTGTCAGGAAGATTGATTCCTTGGCTGCGACAAAGTGGGAAACAAAAGAGAGAAATCAAATCAGACATGCTAAATAATTAGAAGAAAATCAATCAAAATGACAAAGTTTTAATTTTGATCCCCGCTATAGTGAAGTCATGTCGTAATAAAAACGGAAAAAACGCGAATTTCAGCAGTATAGTTATGACACTACGTTTCAGCATGTCGGAGAATCATAGTAGATTTTTACCTATCCTGGTCAGTACAATTAGTGACCCGCAGCGACATTTTGCTGGTGTTGCTCGAACCATCTTGTACGAAATCTAGGAAGTGATTAAAATGATCAGCTGATAATGACTGTGCTGGTTCTTCATGGCCTACTTAGAAAGAACGAGTAATCAGAAATCAAAGGACATCATCAAAGATAGGAGGAAAAAATAAATAAGTGAGAGCAGCATAGAAAGAAGGCCGAAAAGATAAAGAGGAGTGATAAAAAGAGGTGCAAAGATGCATTTCAGACCTTCTGAAGGGTTCAATTGGTCCATTGAGTGCCCAAAATATAAAGGGCGGGCCAAAGCTTTCGGCGCAATATGCAATTCTGCAAAGCGTCTCCTCTCGAGTTCAAGTGCAGTTTCATGCTCTTGGATAACCTCCTTCCTAAGGAATCTTGAATTATCACAACTTCTTGGCACTGAAAAACAATAGTTTCGGTCACACGAACTGATAAAAACGCATAGATCAAGAAGAGTCCGTGTAAAAGAAACATGAACCATCAACGGTATCTACTCACTTGACTGAATATCAGTCTCCCCTTCTATAAGGTGCTGATTGTAATTAAATGTGAGATTCTGCATTTTCTCCATATACCTTCTGCACATAAGTAAATTTCAAACTGTCAAAACAGATCACGAGATAAAGGGAAAGCACCTTTAGTATTCAGTTCTTACACAGTACACTTAACATAGAAACCAGTGAAAAGGAAACAACAACCGACACTGCTAACTGAAATTACGAATTAATACTTGGTTCATATGTATTATAGTACAAAATTTGTTTCTTTCAGCATCCAAAAAGGCGTATGTTCTATAGTTGGTCGACCAACTATTACGAAGTGAAAAAATAGTATATATTGGTATTAAATGTACCCTAGAATGACGTAAATAATGGTAAGTAAAGAAAGGAAGCACACAGCACTGTCACATAACACTCTAAACAGCTGGATATTACTAGGTCAAGCACTTATGAAAAGTTCGTCCAGATGGTGATAGTTTTATTTTGTTTATTCTTAAAGAGAGTACTAAAAGTTAAAAGAATGCATAATTTATTCAAATTAATGATTGTTTTTTTACTTAATATATCACCATATCACCCCTAAAAGTGCACACCAAAAGAAATGATCAAGCAACAAACCACCAATTAAACAAGGTTAACAAATGACTACACAAACGACTACAACGATGAATGACAACAAAGACACACCAATACAAGGTTTGGAAATACGTAAGTTTACCTGTCAAAAAGCCTCGACTTCTCCTTGTACGGTTTCACAAGAACACGTGCGTTACATATAAAGTGAGGATTTCCCTTGGCCAAAACCTGCTTGGCCGTTTCCGCAAAGACAAACGTGACGAATCCAAACATCCTTTTCTGTTGGCAAGGAATCCTAACATCTTGAACAGGTCCAAAATTGCTGCATCAGAGTAACCAATGGGTTATTCACAATTTGAGGTGCTTCTGGCAGAAAAGTACGCAGGAAATAAGCTTCCATACTTGAAGTAATGCGAAACGTCTTGTTCTGTAAAGACGCTCTCCGCCGGAAACGTAAGATATATCTGCCGAGAACCAGAGTTTACACCTGGATCACTTCTTTCACTTGTATACTCCAAGTACTTCTGAGCATCCTCCAACAAAATCACAGAGTGTTGGCCATGCGGTCTGCTACATTTTAGGAACAAAGTTAAAATCTAGAACACTTGCACAAAATGTCTGAAAACCTCTAAATTTATGGGAAGTACCTGTCAATAAGACAAATGCTGTTCTTAAGCCGAGAAAGAAGCTTCGACAAACTAAAACCAGCCTTGCCATGTCTTTGGCTCTCCGTTAGGTACCCCTCGGCCTGAAGTGTCCTCCCATACTTCTCATAATACAACATGGGTAAAGAAGCGATTGAAACGGGCATTCCTCCCCTTGATTTCAAAAGATCGGTAAGCTCCAATTCTAGTTTGTCAAGAGACCCTTGAATAAATGCATGATCATCACTCCCTATCTCATTGTAATTTGCATTAAAATGCTGTGAAAAACTCTCCGGCATAAGATGGCCGTGAAAGTACCGACAGTTGTTCCCGTGCTTGCAAAACCCCTTATTGAAGTAATGGCAAATCTTAACAGGAAAATCTGGTAAACTCGGAGATCTACGACTCGATTTTGCACAAATTGCAGCCTCGGGGAAATAATAACTCCCCATAAACTCCGAACAGCCGGAGTTGGCAAACTCAGCAGGGTCCTCCAAACCCAATTGGCGAACTTGGTTTATGAGATGAAAATCATCAGGGACGTGACCACCAGGAACCTGCGATTCCCAGTATGGGCTGGAGATTCGGAGAGATGAACGAGGTGAAACTGCAGGGGCTGATGCTGGTGAGAACGGAGTGAATTGCACAGGAATTTCTGCAACAGACTGAATATTCACCGTTGGTGTAGAATTTACATGGGGTAACATATTAACAGATACTGCGGGTTTAGACAATCCCAGTTCGGATTTTGCTTTGGTAATCAAGGAGTGAATCGCATTATCAGGGCTGAAGGCGAGCCTGATCATCTCACGTTCACCGTGATCTTGCAAAAGAAGATATCCAATGATCTTCGAGACATTCTCAGGCTCGAGTTTCTGGATCCTGTCGTACACAACTTTGGTGGACTCCGAAAAGTCCATCTCAACCCTGTAAAGAGCTAGAACTTTTAGAGAGTATGCATGAGTGCAAACAACTGATACAGCAAAAAGTCAGAGAAGGGTGAAACGGTCGCAGATCTGGCAACCAAGATATTATTATAATCCCACAAAAAAAATGCATTCAAAGTTATTCCAGGACATTTGGGGTGTCGAAATTGATGATTTTAGTGAAAACACCAATGAGCAACTTTCTATGCCCCGAAAATGCATGATGCTGTATATTCAACATATTCATTCTCTCTGTTATTTTCCTATCCAAGGAAAGTAATATAGACGCGGGGGAAAGATTATGACCAAGAGAAAGCGAATAAAAAATTCCAGGAAAAGAAAAACGAAAAATTAAGCAATTTTGGAAATTCATTTATCGAAAAAAAGGCAAAGATAAACTTCTGAATCGTCAATTTATGACGCCTTAGTAATAGCTATCAGGAAAAAGAAAGAAGAAGACCTCACGATTTTATGCAGGACAAAAATGAGATTTTTTTTTTTCAATTCTCTAAGAACCAGAGCAACAATGCAAAAAAAAAAACTCAACCACTTTCTTTTTCCTGTTTTGACTAAAAACTCGCAATTTCCCCTACTCTATCATTTCCTTTTCTAAGAAAAACTGATCAAATTATAGATATCTCCGCAAGTGACCCTACAGGAAAGAACAGTTAGGGTAAATTTTCTAGTTTGAAAGACAAAGAACAAAACATAAACATGACCGGACCATGATTGTCCGCAGGAACCGAAAGGCTTTTCCAAGTCTCTAACATCCTGAGAACAATTCCAAACCGCAGTAAAGAAAATGACAACAAGACCAAAAATTTATCCTCTGCTTTTTCCCCAAGAACAGCAACACAACAGAATTTCAGAATTTTTCACTTTCATTACCATTTCTTTTCCAGAAAAAATTTTATCCACACTAAGAACAGAAGCAACGCGAAGTCAAACTCACACAACAAAGACAAAAACGTGAAAGGGTTATCGTTCATAATCCTCAAATCACTGCTTCTCACCAAAAAACACAAACAAAAAAAGAAGACAGTCATTTGGAAGGAAAACACAACCCATCTCCAGAATCACATCAAATAATACGCCAACAATGACACCAACAGATATATGTAGAGACACATACACACATGTCTATGCATACACAACCAAATTCAGAGGGAAAACCACCCTCGAAACCCATGTATTCCAAAGCAATTAACCCCTAGAAACAGGAAAAATGCAGTCAAACAACATGAAGTTCATGTCTTGACCCTGCTTTTCCTTTTGCAAAGGAAAAAAAAACACACATGACGATACATACATACCACGTAACTCACCGCCAAACTCTTTCAGCAGGCCTTCTATGGAGAAAATCAAAATTCAGACGAACCAATCCATGGCCCTCAACCCTCCTCTCTCTCCCTCTCTGTTTTTTTTGGGGGGGGTGGGCGCTATTTTTAACCGGGTGTTCCCGAGTTCAACCTTTCACAGCAATAGCGACAACACGCGCTTTAAAATAAGGGAGGCAGACAAAAAAAACACCAAGAAAATTTAAAATATTTTAGAAAAAAGGAGAAAAAAAAACTGACATAATGGATAGCTACAAAAGGAGAGAGCGCGCCATGTCCTTTCGCTCCAAAACGAGACTCCCACCCCACCTCACGCACACCCTTTTTATATAAAACACGCGCACACACTCCCGCACACACGCAGCAACAGCAACAGCAACGACTTTATCTCGAACATAATCAAGAAAACGAAGAAGAAGAAGAAGAGATGAAACAAAAGCACCAAAAAATGACCACCAGAAAGTTCGAATTTTTAATCGCTCCCACCTGCAATATCTTAAACACCCATCATCCTTGTTGCCGTCGCTCGAGCCATGGCCGGGATTTCTTGAAAAAGGGAATGATTTTTTCCGCAATTTATTATCCTTTCGAGGCGTTAAATAGCGAGAGAATTAAGATAATAATTAATTAGAGACTTTTTTTTTTGGGGCTAAAAATTAATTAGAGATAAATGAACGAGCGGGGTGATTTACAGGGTGTACTTCGCTTCGAGAAAATTACGGGGGATGCGCCTGGATTTCCGAAACGGGCATGCGCCGGGGGGCGTCGGGATTGACCGAAACGCCCTCGGCGGCGTGGTGGGCAGCGAAATGTCGAGACTGCCCCTCGGGCAGTTCGTGAGTATCTCTGTGCTGTGGCTACGGGGCCGCGGAACTGAAAATCTGTCGGCTCCGCTTGTCGAGTTGGGGGGGGGGGGGGGGGGGGGGCCAGTTATGCGCTGCGGCGAGCTCACGGCTTCCGTATCGGTGCGGGCGAATCCTGACCGTTGATCACCGTTGATCACCGCGATTTTTTTTCGTTTTCTGAATTTGCTTTTTTTCTTTTTAATGACGATTGGCATCGTTTTGAGTGGGGCATCTCTTATAGAACGATGAGTACTGTAGATTTGAGACTTAGCTAAAAAAAAAGACCATCGTTTGACGCGGGCGATTTTCTCTTGTACGAATCGCTATTGATATACATATAATCACGAGAGATTTTCGAGGATAGATAATTCGGGGCCCAGATTATCGACGTGTCCAACGGCGGAAAAGGGGCCGACCGGACGTGTTTGTACGGCAGTGTCCACGACTACTAGAGAGGCGACGGTTGGAAAGTAAGGATCGGAAAAACACGGGAGAGAACAGTCCCGCACGCGTCACGGACAACCTCAGAAGAAGAACGATGACAATCTTACGCACACGATCGATCGCGACGATGATTGGATGACATGGCATTTGATTGACTATCTGAACAGCCGATTTTTATTTTTTTTGGTCAAGCAGTCAAATTGACTATGCTGTAGACATATATATAAATACGGGAAGGTCTAAATTCGAATGATAGTAAACTTTTCAGTATCAAAATTGTTTCGTAAAAAGCTTTTATAGATGTGCTTCCGTTTTTCTTCGATGGAACGGGTGGAAGCGACGAGGGTGCGCACGGGAGCCGGCGCGCAGGGGATCGAAAAAGGGCTGGGTGGGGCCCCCACGGAGGGGAGGAATCAGCGGCGGCGATCCTTTCCAGCCCCTCCCCTTTTCGGCCGGTTCCCGTTCGATCCCCCCCGCCCCGCCCCGAAGGAAGAAGAGACGCGAGGAGCCCCGACGGGGGGCGGGGGGCGCTTGCATGCGCGCCACGTGTCGATCCGGATCCCGGGGCCAGGGGCTTTCGCTGCCTGCGGCGCGGGCCCAGGGGTGGGCTTCCGGTGCACCCGCCGTGCGCTTGGGGATCTTGCCGGATTTGGGGATTATGTTAAAATGGATGGATACGGCAAGAGAATTGGTAAAATCCGGTGGGGCCCACCTCATCTGCTGAATTTTGTCCCCTTTTTCCCTTTTTCCTTTTTTGGTGTGTCCGCGGTTTTCCCAGAAAATCCCACGTGGCCGCAGATTCGGCGGCTCCGTCCCCGCGGGCCGGGGGAGAACCGGTCCGGTTCGACCGGCGGCCCGGTCCGGTCCGGTCCGGCGCATCAACCATCATCTTCATGCCTTCCGTGATTAGCGGTCGGTAATAATTGGCCTTCCCCCCCCCCCCCACGAATTTACAACTAACCAAGCAATAATTATCACCCCAGCCCCCCAAAAAAAAAATCCGACCGAGAAAAAAAATATAACAAAACGGGCGTAATAGTTGCGGTGCTGGCATGCCAGTACGTGTTCCTGGACCGGCCCTATCGAAAGACGAAAGTGACGATGATTCTGAAGCTGAACCGGGAGGAGTTGGAGTTCATTTTGATTTTCGATTTTCTTAAATTTTTCTTTTTTTTAAGATTAGAGGAGAAATTAGGGAGAAGGGCAAATCGGTCAAGCGAGCCCCATCTTTAAATTTCCCTAATACGTTGGGATTTCGCCGATTAACCGGGAGATTATCTCGCTAATGAATCCGTTAAGCCTTGCCTAATTTGCCGGTCTCTCGGCAAGTAAATAGTAACCCTCTTTTTACTCGGTTATTTTTCCAATTTTCAAAATCATTCTTTTCCCTTTTCGCCCACTGAAAAATTAAAAAAGGGCTTTTCTCTCTTGCTGCCACGTCAGCATTCGGTGTGGAAATTTATTTTTTCATAGTGGTTTAACACTAAGTACCGTGACATAAGACAATTCCGACAATTGCAATTATATTAATTATAAACGCTGCAAAAAAAAAATAGATCATCGATTATGTTGTTAGCACGTACATAAAAGACGTTTCTGAAAAAAAAAAATTAGATTAAAAAAATTAATTGTGATTATGATGCCAGATTATTTATGCTTTGATGGAGACGTATTTATTTTATTTTATATTTTTTTTGTTGATTTTTCCAGAAATGATGGGGGTTATAAGATTTCATTGAAACAGTAGTGCAGGCCAGCCGAAAATTAATGGACCCCAAAAAAAAAAAAAAGTTTATGGTCGACATGATTAGGGGGAGGAAGTTGAGTGGCTCACATTTTGGAGATCATGCTCGACTTTCATAAATTAATTAAGAACAAGTTTATTTATTAGCAAATCATAATGACGATATTTAAATATTATTCGTTTCTAGGAAAATAAAATACATAGAAATAAACGTCTTAATAAAGCCCAATTCTCAGTTACAGTCATATATTCGGGAAAGATACGCGCCTTTCATTGAATTACTTTATTTTTTGGATATATGGTGGAGTCGGGATAGCCAAGAGCGTTGTAGCTATATCGAGTGAAAAATAAAAATAAAAATCTCAAATAAGTAAGGTAGGACGGCTGTTGTCGTATGGAATGACAAGTTGTGATCGGTAATCACGCACCGCATCAATCACCGTGATATTTCTAACGATCAAATGATATTTTCTCGTGACTTACATTTACATAAACCGCGCTAAGCATTGTATTTCTTCAAAAAAATATGTATACATAGAAATAAATTCTATCCTGTGATTTGAAATGTCTGATGAGTACCCAATAATTTCAGCGACAGAGGGGAATTTTCTTGATTTACGTCCCCAACACGTAGTCGGTTTGAAGATGCATGTCCTCTTGTCATAATGAACTTATCAAAATAATAAAAAATGTCAAGGCCAAAAAATAATATTAATAATAATTAAAAAGTCCCAATGTCCTCCTCCAACAATTTAAAATGCAGAAAGTCTTTTTTTTTTTTTTAATTTATACAAATCCCTTGATTAAAAAAGCGTTTAGAAAAAAAAAATTTGTTTCATGGGAGGCAGTGGTGGGGGTATGCTGGCATTGGTGGGCTTAAGGGGCAAAACACAGTTAACCAAAAAATAAAATTAATTAAATTAATTAACAAGCATCGTAATCAGTGTAAGAATTGATAGCTCCGAGAGTTTTGAGTAATGTTAATGCCGTGCTCAAAAGGTTGCTTAAGCAGTGCGATGCCGAAATTCGATGTCGAGTCAATTTCTATTTATTTATTTTATTTTTATTTATTAAATTTTCTTAGTGGGTATTTTATTGATATTCTCACGTTGATTTCGAAGATAACAATTAAATCGGCACCATATATATAAAAAATTATCACTATGAATGTCGTGCGCGGCTTCTTGGTCTCCAAGATTGGACCTCGTTAGAGAAACGAAAATAACAAGAGGGATCCCTCGGTCGCTTAATCTTGTTTAGTGATCTAATTTTAGCTGAATCGTGAATTTAGACGTCGGAAGAGCCATGTACGAGATAACCCGAGAAGGAAATAACTAGATCCCCCTCTCAAAATCTAGCTAATCAAATCGAATTGCATAGCATAACACAATATCATCACGGCAAATTGTGAAGATAACAATTGATATCTCCCTCCAGAGACGGTAAAGCGGTAGCTCGCGAGTAATTCCTTCAACTACATAGGTTCGGATGACTATTGAATATTTGTTCAGATCGATGGTTTAGATCCGATGTTTTTTGTTGCTAGAGATGTTATGTCATATCATATTATTTATATTATCCTGTCGTAATTATTAAAGTAATATTTAAGAGCCCCAAGCAAATTTGAAACTCACAATCAAAGACACCAATAGATGCTAAACATAAGCTATATATATATATATATATATATATATATATATATATATGTGTGTGTGTGTGTGTGTGTGTGTGTATCTATATATAGCTTTTGGGTAATGGGGATTTTATAGTATTATTTTAATAAAGTCCAAATGAGCAATCAAAGGAAAGCAAAATCATTGAGGGCTCCCATTGGCCACGCTTGTCACGATCGATCATTCACCATAAGAAACTCATTATGAAAGCTGACCTCATTAGCCCCCCTTTTCTTATCTTTCTCTTTGAATCTTATCCAATCAAATAAGATTGTTTTTACCCAAAATTATTGGATGCTAATCATAGTCGCAGCTCCCACCATGTTCTTATGCATGTTACCAAAATAATGGCAATTCCTTCTTTCTTGTTTTTGGGTACACTTGGGACTTGGACTTGGGTTAATTCCCTTAGGTTTTCGCATGATTCCTCCCAAGAGATCTTTCTATTTTTGGGGATGAAAACCGGCATGGGTTAATGGTATTGTGGCAATTAAATTAAAGCGGATTTGTCGTATGATAATTATGTCTGCCTTTTGCTAGGGCAGTGGATATGGCTCGTGCGAAAGAACATATACATAGTTAGCACATTTTCGGGGTATTTATTATTAGTTCGATTTCTTTAGAAATGAGAAAGGCATATGCCTTTACCAAATTTAATGATGTCCACGTCAACTTTCGATATAATAGAATCAGATGTCGACATAAATATCTAAAGCGAAATCTATCGTCCTGACGTGACTGGATATATGCCTTTCTCATTTCTAAAGAAATCGAGATAAATATACACACCGAGGCCCCCTTTGGTGATGGTTGATTGGATAAGAGTAAAATTTGAAATTTCGATTTGCCATTCAATTTTTTTGTCAATAAAAACAGAAATTTCATTAGCTCAAAAAAAGTTCGTTTCATTGCAAGATAAGATATCCAACAAAGATTTCGAGGGATTAGATATCCAGCTTGAGGGAAGTTCCTTCTCTCACTAGGCTTCAGCCACCCAATCCGCAAGCTTATTTGCCATTCATGTTCAATCTATATAGATTGTAAGCGTTAGAAACCTAAGGCAATAGCAGATACTTAAGGTGGAATGTCTGGTCATTTTGCAAAACTTTTTGTCCAAAAATTCTAAGGCCCAAGGCCTATCTAACGGCCCAAGGCCCATCAAGAAGGCCCATCCACGTCGCCTGTTGACTATTGTGATGAGACGAAGCTCCTCTTGTTTTTTTCCGCAAATGATAAGGTTAGCATGCCAATTAATAACGTATCACGTGATGTGTTGACGTGATAGAGCCCACCAAAGTTGAGTTTGTTATTTTTCCCGAGTTGCATTTTCTTGTTATTGGATGCTCGCAAGTCGTATAAACAAAAAATACGTGATTGATTATGTTACGCAGCATATCGCTCAATTCATCGACGATGAAATACGTGGACGCAATTATTTACACGACACTCTTTGTCCAAAGAACTATACATTTTTTTTTAAATTCACGACCGGTTAAGTCTCTTGAATCTAGCATAAACCTTCTCGAATCACATCTTCTTAACAAAGCAATAGATACTTATGCCTCGATAACTCGTGGCAAGTTCCGTCGAAAAAGGTAGCTCACTGTATCTCTTGTCATACAATTCGCGATTCAAATTCTATTGTCACGATCAATAATTTTGTCGGGTAGGAAACTGAATAATGCTAGAAATTAGCAAAATATCACCTCGCATTGCTTAAAATACGTATTTCAATAACCCTTATATTTATATAGTCTCCCTTTACACAATAATTCAATTATTTCCAAATCGGACTTCATGATAAGACTAGATGAATTAAATTGCCATACGACCACATCCCGCTCATTTTTCCACCTCCGGCGGGGCTCAGCAACCCCTATTTCGCGCGAACTGGACCGTCCGACTACATAAATTTATGAAACTATCATTCTCAATCTCAAAAATTAATATAAAGTCGAGGTCAAACACATTAGAAAAGGTGTGGTCCTGAAGCACCACTAATAATGGAAAGGCGACTGAGGCTCTTAGGCACCACATGATGCACATGGATCTGTATGGTGGCCATTGACCGGACCTATTTTATGCAACTTCTTTTATTCATTCATAAATATAATACACAAAAACCCTTTCTTCTCCTTGTAATCTCCTATTCATTTGAATATCCAATTAAATCCGCTACTTCAGCAATATAGATAGAATTCGATCGATTCCATCTGTATTGCTTAATGTAAAGTAAATTTATAATTCGAACATCTAAATAGATTTCAACGCGCGATTAATTTGATTTGCGAACTTTGGTGAATCGTGAAATACTATGAATACAATTCATGGATACGGGAACTAAGCTAAGGGGGCAATGAACTTGTCTGTACAAGTACACGAGGATGGATGGAGGACTCGTGGGGGTTGACCCGAAGTGGGTGTCATGGGTTGACCGCGTACACATACATCACATGTAGACCTCTCTCTCTCTCTCTCTCTCTCCCTTTTCGACATCCTTTTATACTCTCTCTGTCTCTCTCTCCCTCTGTGATTCTTCAGTCCCAAATGTGGAAAAGTTCCCAAAATTCGTCTGTCAAGGTAAGCTGACAGATCTTTCTATGTTTTGTTTTTTCTATGGTTTCCCAGCTGTTGCTTGGTTGTTGCAGAGGTCTGAGAAAGGTAAAGGAGGGCGTTTGTATGGAAGGAGACGAAAAGTTGGAGACTTTTTCACCGCCCCGTCGTTTTAATTTTGTTGGGTGGTTCTTGTTTTTGGTTTTTTCTTTCCCAATTTTGGATATGGCGTTGCCATAAATACTGGGTATTGATTTTTGTGCTGTTTGCTGGTCTTCATGTCGTTCCATAGGTGAAAGGTTGGAGTTGAATTGATTTGCTGTTGTTGTTGATCTTTGTCGTGTAGAATTGATTTGGGAGATGAGCAAAGCGCAGCCACCTGAGCCTCTTGATTTCTTCATCTGGACTGTTGAGGTACGCAAATTTCTGAGGGTTCTTGATTGATTAGCTTTTGGTTGACTTTGCCTGCAGTTCCTTTTTCTTGTCTTTTGGTAGATATGGTATCAATTTTCAAGGCCAAGAAAGTTTTGGGTTCTTGATTCTTCTCTTTTTCTTTTCCCTTCTGAGAAGAAAAGCGTTTCTGTTTCTTTAATGTCGAATGTTGCCCTTATACATGGAATCGGAATGTGGAATTTTAGTGATTAGTGAATTGGGGGGAGGTCAATGGTGTAAAATAGGGGCTTTGGTTTTGTTTTCAGAGTATAATTGCTCTGACACACCTCATATATCTTTTGAAATAAATTAGCCAGAATTTTCATTTGTAAGTTTGCACTGGGAGAATTTCTTGGTTTGCTGAAGTCGCAAGCAAACGAGAGCATTCGTCCATGAACTGCGCTTGTCACGTTGGCATTTTGCACACACCCTATTTGCACCTGACTCTAGATAATCAAATGGTTTTGTGTGAGCACCATGCCTAATGTGAATTCCAGGATAGGTGATGCCTTCCGATTTAAGAACACATTTTCTCAGCAGTAGTTTGGTATAGGCATTTGTAGTGTTGTGATAATGACAAGTAATTGATGCAAACGGTAAACACTGACACAAAAATTGAACAGATTGCGATCACCAATTTGCGGCGCTTTAGTTTGCTCTCTGCCAATATCTTGGAAGCATTAGTATCTACGTCGCAAGATACTTGGGTTTTTGGACCCTACAAATCCAAATTTTCTGGACATGATAGACATAATATGCCTGCAAATTTGTCGGGAATGTTAAAATTTCATCCTCTCTGTAGGACAGACAGGAAATATAATGGAGCGATTAAGGAACTTCTAATGAGAAATGGGGGAATTCCTCTGTTCATCCATGAGGTCAATCAGCGAAATGACTTCGGTTTTTTGTTTGGCATGGCAAAGGTTGTCTTTTTCCAGTGACAGATATATACTTTAGTTCATTCTAGTGTTGCTCAAGATGGACCTTGAGCACAAGCAAGAAATAAGATAAATTGCTGACAGGACATATGGTTCGTTTGCCCCATCAGACACCTAAACTGGAGCAATTGATGGTTCATTTGGAAATTTGATGCGCGTCATTACTCAACTCTGAGAGTTAAATCTGGCAAAGGAGCAGACTTTGCTTGTCAAATTGGTATGAAGATGAGTTTTATGAGGACTCAACTTCGGTGAGGCGTGAACGTCTTACAGTAGATTTAGAAATTATCTAATTTTGTCATTGGTAACCACATGGCCGCATGTTTCTGTTATTTTATGTGTAAAGTATCTTTATGTATGTGTTATGATTATCAAATTAGTTATGCTGTATGCGTGGGACACAATCTTCAAGTTGAAAAACTTGTGTCCTCATGTCTCTGTGCTGAACAGTTTTTGGCTTACTAGTGTAATACTTGACTATAACGAAGTGGAAGGTTGGTCAGTCAAGATACTAATTTTTTTCCAATATGCCCTCACAAAAAGGCCACATATTTCAATGGTGATTCTTCTGCAGCTCTTCCATCTCTTTTTTGCTTTTCAGGATGTTGGTAGGTGGTTGGAAGAGATAAACTTGGGAAGCTACCGCCAGATTTTTAAAGAAAATGGGGTCAATGGTGAGTATCTGGAAAGCATGTCCACGTTCACGACCGAGCAGATACTTCGGTTTATCAGAAAGTGCCACATGAAATGGGGGGACTTCATTACGCTTTGTAAAGAACTCCGGCGGATTAAGGGTCTCTCTCTCTCTCTCTCTCTCTCTCCGGTCTCATTCTATGTTTTCCATATGCATAATCCTGACAGTAGTATCTTTTGCTTCACATGTTAAATCACTGTCAATATGAACTGTGAATGGTGTTTCATTTTTTTTTTTTGATAAGCAGTGTTGTTTTTTACTTTGGAGCTATGGATATCTTTTTGCTTCATTTTGATGCATATTCAGGAATCCTATTTATTCTTGGGGGGTAGTTCCTTTCTGAGGGCAGGTATATCTTTGAGGGAATACGTTTGACTAAGTAGGGGCAAATCTTTTTCAGTAGTGGCGTTGTTAGTGATTCCGGTTTTTTTTGTCCGTGGCCAACTATTTTCTCGTTCAGTGATAACATGAGATGATCTTTGAGTTATGTTATCTGCTGTCACGGGTGCACCTCTCGTCTAATGCTCCTGGTCTCTTCTTGCTACGCATAATGACTATTCGACAAATTGACACACGAGCATATTATCTGTTTATATGTTATATGCAGTCCACGCTACGCATCAGTTTCCTTGCTCTTTTTTTTGGGTATGCTTACATATTCTGATGTCAATAGTTTTTTCCAGTGGCATGCTTGAAAGGCGATCAGAAGGTCCGGAGGCCGTGGTGGGCTCCATCGTGCCTCTCAATAGTCTCTGTGAAGTCAGCGAAGCGCGGCAGACAATCGAGGGTTGTTTCATTAAAGGTAGAACCATGACGCATAACATGGTTTGCCGACGTAAAGGTTGCCTTGTAGAAGGAAAGTGAAAGTCGGAACAAACTCTTTGGTATCTTCGCATCTTGCCAGGTGCTTCCGTTGGTCCTTTCTTGGAGAACCATCGTGTGCCTGCACGGATTACGTGCTGTGCGATTTCTGTTAATTCTTGTAAATGTTTTAAATGCATTTGCCCTAATATCTGAAGAACAATATCATGTCATTGCGAACAAAGTACAAGACACTGTATGGTTTGTTGTGTGAAATCTTTATATACCGAAGGCCACAGTTATTTCTTGATCGATGGGAGAAACCGGCCGAAAAGTGGGAATAATCCAGTTTGAATAGAAGTGGGTATGTGCCGATCAAATGTTGACCCGTTGGAAAAAACCTGATTTAGGACCCAGATTCATATTGACCCCAAATCCGATCTCGCTTGATTGGTGGGTCGAATTAAGGTGTCAAAAATAAGGTAATCTCAGAAAACTTGCGTTTCACAACTGGAAGTCCCAGTGGAAGATTAGACATGGAGCAGTATAAAGGCAAAAGAGAGGGAAAGAGAGATATCGGCAGGGATTTCTTTAGTGAAAGATGGTTCTCACATATTTCTTTTCATGTTTTCAAGGTTCTTTTCCACTTTATCTAAAGGTTTCCCAAGTGAAGAAAAGATATGACTGAGGATTCTTTCATGTGTTTTCCCTTCATCTTGAGAATTCTTTATCATCTGTCAGTTCAGATTTTTATTTTCTATTATAAAGGATTCTTTTTCTGTCAGTTCTTCAAATTATTCTTTTCTTGGCCTAGGCTAAAGAATGTGGTCTTCACTTTTGTGAACGAGAAGCCTCTCTCCAGTCTCCAATGTCTGAACCAGACACATACATATGACCTCTCAAACGAGGTTGATAATAACATAACAAATCATGTCCTCTCTTCCCCTCCTCCTTTGGCTCCTCCCCGTTGTCCCGAAGAATATGGAGTAGGAGGAATAGGTAAGGCCATGGCGGCTGGAGTCATTTACTGTCGCCTTGGTAAAGACAAAGACTTGCTTGACGTTCTCAAAGTAGATGACAAGTGCCTCGCCAAAGGACCGGATCCCAAGGAAGGTTACGAGGAGTTGTCTGAAAGTCTAGTGCGCTATGCGGGAGGGCATGCTTGGAGTCTCAAAAGACTCCGTTCCTTCCTCAACGGCAAGTCCAAAGATCAATGGCATGAGACATTGGAGAAGTTGGTAAGCAACCCTTATCTCCAGCACATCTTCGCTGTTTATGATGAGCATGTGGAAAGAACTAACACTTTGGTTCAAAGGACTGGGAATTCGTTGGTGTGCCCAGTTTTTCCTTTCCTTCTATTGTTGGTTGGGTTTTCTTGAAGTGGAACTGGCATCTATTTCACGTCTGGAGAGAACCCTAATTCTAACCAGGGCAAATTACAACATTGATCCCAATCTTGTCAAGTGTTTTCAATCTTGTCCCCCCTTTTAACCCTATTAGAAAAATGCCCTGCCTTTCAAATATATTTCAGATTCTTTAACACCATATTGTAACACTTTCCTCGCGAGTAAGCCACTTCCATACAAGCGTAAGACATGATATGAACATAATTGCATCAATGAGACAACTGTGCAGGAACACAGACAGAATACCAAGAAGTGCAGGCAAGAGAAAATTAAGAGAGAGTGCCCGAATTTGAACCATGGACGTGTTCTTTGATACCATATGACCGTTATTCCAAAAAAAGCTTGAACTGTTAGGAAATGAACCAACAATATTATTTATAGCAAAATTTGGCCATCAAAATTCCACTTCCTGGTAATGAGCAAAGTGAATATGTTGATTTTCACATACGTACAAATAACTCCCACATTTCTTGCAGGTGAGATTGGATTATCCCGGTGAATACCTAATTTCTATATCAGGCCATATAAAAAATGACGAAGCTCCTATATCCATAGCAATAGGATGACAAGCGGACTGTGCGGCACTGAAAAGGGACAATTTCTTCGATTTCCGCAAGTTGATGGAAAGATGATCGGCTTTCATGGAAGATGCGGTTAACTTATTGACTCGATCGGAGCACATTTCGAGCCAATTTCTCATGCATCATATCCTTTTGGAGTCGCGGGTCCATTTGGTGATGATAAGGGCACAACGATTGGTGACGAGGGAAATTGTCATAGGCTTCTACTCCAGAAAAATGTCCTTATACATGGAGGATTTTACTCCTGGATGCCTTGTGATGCTCTATTTCTTCTTTGTAAAACAAGGGTTTTCCTAACAAGCGCCACTTTTTAGACAATCGAATACAGAATGCTTGTCACTTCCAAGGCCTTGTCTGTCTCGTGTTATGTAGAATCAATATATTGGAAGTCAAAACGTTTCCTTGTCAAGTATGATTAACGAGTGTAATAAGAAGCATATAATGAAGTAGTTTGTCTCTTGACGTAGTTTGGGATCTCCCTACAATGATTACTCTGGTATTTCTGTATCTGCATGAAATGAGATTCTTCAGTTTTCATTGAGCCTTTGACTGTAGCTGAGATTAGGGGTTTTTTGTAGTCAAAAGGAGGATGGAAGCAGGGAGATCCTCTCTCTCCTTTATCTTCTTGTCCTTGTCATGGAGGTCCTCTCTAGGCTGTTGAATGATGCTGCAATGGCTGGAAAGATTTAATTTTCATCCTTATCGTAGAAAAATTCAACTCAATCATCTATGCTTTGCCGATGATTTAATGCTGTTCTTAAAAGGTGACATGGCTTTCTTGAGAGAAATTCGTCTGCTTCAACACTTCAGAAGCATCTCTGGGCTGGAAATTATTAAATATGTATTGTGATGGAATTATCGATTTAAGGTTGACTGTAAAGGGTTTTGTTGACTATTAGTCTGTTTTTGTTACTACTTTGGGGTTGTGCAGGGTATGCGTGGGCAGTGGGGCTCGGCGCCGGGGGTTATGGTTTTGTAAATGGGGTTGTTGTGGTTATTTGGATTTGTTGTTTTTAAGGTGCTTGTATTTTGGGTTGGGTGCTTGGTTGTGGCTTAGGTTCCTGGGGTTGTTCTGTCTGCTCCCACGCCTCCTGTGGGTGGGTTTGACGTGGCCCGGGGGGTTCGGGTGTTTGGCTGTGGTCGTTGGTCATGGGGTGACTGGGCTATACAATCAGCTATTTGTCGTCTGATATTTCCCAACTCTTCCATGGATGATGAAGTCAATTGCACATCCTTAGCATCTGAGTTGTTTACTTCTGGTGTTGAATTGGATATTGTTATGAAATAGAGGCCATAAAGTTAATTGGCATAAAGTGCTCTGGTTCTCTCCTGACATGGCTTGCCATACTAAGATAAGTTGCCTACTTTTGAGAGGATTGGCAAGTGGTCCACGAGTTCTGCTTATTTTCTACATCTCCTTTGTAATAATTGTAATCAAACCAGGTCCCATCTCTTCTTTGAGCGTGGTTATTCATGTCAGGCATGGGATTAAGCTCTACGATTGAGTTACATTCATCACGTAATACTGGTGATTGGAACAGCAAGCTAGCTTGGTTGCAGCAGTTTCCTAATGGCAGAGATTTTCGTAAGGGTCTTATTCAGTCGGTCTGGAATGCTGTGTATCTATCAAATTTCAGAGCTAGGAATTCCAAGCTGCATTCTCAGACTCCTCTTTCTGCGGATGCTGTGATTCAAACTGTGAGATATACAATTAAACATTGTTTTGAGGGCGGGAGGAACTTCAGCGGCGGAATTACTACGATTATTCAGGGCTTGGGAAACTAAAATTTGAGCTGGAATTACGTTCTTTAGCCCGGCGCATCGTTGCTGCTTTCGCAGGGTTGCTGTATCTATCTCTGTATGCTTTTGGTTGTGGATCTTGTCCTGTAATGTTCTGGTATTAGCAGCAGATTGGTCACTTCTGATCTGTTGGGATTGCTATTTGTTAGCTGTATTGGTTTTGCATTGTTCTTGATGGGATTGTGCTTTCTTGCTTGCAAGTGGCCTTAGTCCCCCATTCTCTTTGTTGGTTGATGAGCAATGAAAAACTCATCAACTTCATTTTCATACTTTGTTATAATCACAATTATCGGTTAAGAAAGAAAGTTCATGTCCGAACATTAATGGGCTTATTTGTCTGGATTTATGAAAAATGAAAATTGATATTTTCACTTTTTCTGTAAATTTTTTTAATATTATTCGAATTTCAAAAATCGTGTAAAATGAATTTCTTTTAAAGGTCTGTAGAATTATTACATTAAATAGATCTCAAAGATTATATTGGGAAGAAAGTAAAGAAGTAAAAGTTATACTTTAATATTTTACTAGAGATTAAGAAAAGGTTAATACCATTAAAAATCACAACTCGGTACCTTAACGGTGCATTGATTCAAAATTAGTTTTCCTTTTACGAAAAATTCATTATGCTCATGATACGTTTACGCAAATTGGTAGCCACACAAAAAAATCTCAAAATGGTGCTGTAATATGGCTACTTTAACGGGCTATTGGATGGGCTTAGATCAAGAGTGCTAGTTTAAGATTTTTTGTGATGCGAAAATGTGTTTAAGGTAATTATGTCAAGGAGATACCGGTGTGAGATGTCTTCCGAGACAAAAAATAATATCGAGATAAATATCATGAGGTACCGGTTTTGGATTTTTTAATGATATTAATCCTAAAAAAAGGAAAAAAAAGGAAAAATGACATAAATAGTTCCCGAACTTTGGCTCAATGTGCAATATGGTCTCTGAACTTTTAATTTGTTCAACGTAGTCCCTGAACTTTAATACATGTTCAATTTAGTTCTTGAACTATATGAAAAAGTTCAATGTAATCCTTTAATTAATTCAAGATCAGAGACTCCATTGAACATTTTCATATAGATCAGGGACTATATTGAATATGTACCAAAAGTCGAGGGACCACATTGAACAAATTGAAAATTCAGGCTACGATTTAAGGATCACATTGAACAAATTAAAAGTTCAGAGACCACATTACACGTTGCGCATTAGACACTTTCGTGCTATCCCAAAAATATTAGGAAGCAACCCTAGGATCGGCATCATCTAAACTAGGCCGGTCCTCCCTTTTCTTCTACAGAGAGAGAGAGAGAAACCTGCTTCGAGGTCTCTCTGCTCTTTCCTCTCATGGGCAAACATAAGCAAAATAGCAGCAGTCAGTGGTGGTGGCGCTGCGACCACGTCCTAGCAATCTCGCAAGTTGCAATGTCCACGCATTCAAATCCCATCTACGCAACCCCACCAACCGCAAATCCAAACCCAGATCACCATATTCAAGATCGACGAGATCCCTCGAACACCCATCACGCCATTCCCGGATTCTTCCATGCTGAACTGAAGAACGTGCAGAACCCATGAGCCCCAGTCGCCCGCCATGTTAAACCCCCTCAAACCCAGAACCCCATCTCTCGTTCACCTCCAAAGTCGTCGCTCCTCTCTCTGCTCCTCCTCGGAAACGAGCTCTCACCCCGACTTGGTGTCCAAAGTTTCGAGCTTTCTGCGCGTTGGCCACTGGCAGAAGAATCCCGAGCTCATTCGCGTGAGCGCGGAGTTGAAGCCCCACCATGTGTCCGAAATCGTGCAGTGGCATGATAGCATCGGCTCTGCTCTGCAATTCTTCTTCTGGATATCTAAGCGGCATTTCTACAAACACGACGCGCGCTGCTTCGCGTCGATGTTGAATAGGCTTGTCCGGGACCGGTATTTTGCGCCGGTGGATAAGGTTAGGATCATGATGATCAAAGCTTGTAGGAACGAGGGGGAGCTGAAGCGGGCTCTCGAGTGTTTGAATGAGATTAGTGGAAAGGGTCTTACCTTGACGTTGTACAGTTATAATACTCTTTTGTTACAGCTGGGGAAGTTTGGGATGGTTGGTTTAGCTCAGAACACGTACACTCAGATGCTTAATGATGGTATTAAACCTAGCCTGTTGACATTCAACACGATGATTAATATGTTGTGTAGGAAGGGCATGGTTCAAGAAGCCATGTTGATATTCAGTAAGATTTTTCAGTATGACATGCGTGCAGATACTTTTACTTATACGTCCTTGATTCTTGGGCATTGTAGGAATGAGGATATAGATTCGGCTTTTGAGGTTTTTGATAGGATGACAAGGGAAGGTTGTGATCCGAATTCCGTTACATATTCGAATCTGATCAATGGGTTGTGCAAGGTAGGGAGGGTGGGTGAGGCGCTTGATATGCTTGATGAAATGATCGAGAAAGGGATCGAACCAACTGTTTATACTTACACAGTCCCGATCACCACTTTATGTGAGGTTGGACTAGTGAAAGAAGTAATGGAGCTTGTGAGTAGCATGAAGAAGAGAGGCTGCAGTCCAAATATTCAGACTTATACAGCTCTTATTAGTGGATTCTCTGATGCAGGGCTGTATGAATTAGCAGTTGGAATGTACCATAAAATACTGAAGCTAGGTCTGACGCCAAACACTGTCACTTACAATGCCTTAATAAATCTGCTATGTCTAAGTGGAAGATTTGATGATGCATCGACAATTGTTCGTAGGTTGGAGAGACTTGGTTGTGTGCCCAACATTCAGACCTTCAATGAAATAATAAGGGGGTTATGCTTAGTTGACGAGATGGAGAAAGCAATGGTTCTTTTTGATAAGATGCTCAAATTTGGTCCATTTCCAAACGTGATAACATACAACACACTCATTGGTGGGTACCTAAAACAGGGTTCTCTTAACAATGCAGCTAGACTATTGGATTTTATGAAGGAGAATGGATGTGCAGCAGATGAGTGGACATACAGTGAATTGATAACTGGGTTTTGTAAAGCTGGCAAGTTAAGTTCAGCTTTTGATCTTTTCAATGACATTGTGGGACACGGGATCAGTCCTAATCATGTCATTTACACAGCTTTGATTGATGGATGCTGCAAGGAAGGGAAGGTCGATAATGCCTTGCACATATTTGAAAAGATGGGGGAAAATGGTTGCTTGCCTAGTATTGAAACATACAATGCCATTATTAGCGGTTTGAGCAAAGCAAATCGCGGTGCTGAAGCTGAAAAGCTAATTGGTATGATGGAAGATCAAGGACTTCAACCAAATGTTATTACCTATACATCGTTAATTGACGGGCTCTCTCGAAATGGAGGGATTGACTGTGCATTTCAGATTTTTCATGAAATGGAAAGAGGAAATTGCTTGCCGAATTTGTTAACTTACAGTTCACTGATTTTTGGCTTGTGTCAGGTGGGTAAGCCAGAGAATGCTGAGAAACTATTGGAACAGATGGAGAGGAAGGGTTTGTTTCCTGACCATGTAACGTTCACCTCTTTAATTGATGGATTCGTCATGATTGGCAAACTAGATTATGCATTCTTGCTTTTTAAGCTTATGGTAGCTAGAGGCTGTGAACCGAACTTTCGGACTTTTACTGTTTTGCTTAAAGGTCTGCAAAAGGAATGCCAGTTGTTCTCAGAAAAGGCTGTTGCACAACAGGAAGCTGCTTATACTTGCGTCTCTGATGAGAGTTACTCTGCTATCAACTTGTTTGTGCTCTTAAATCGCTTGTCTGAGATCAGATGTGAACCCACAGCTAACATGTACAGTGAGTTGATAAAGGGCTTGTGTAGGGAAGGTAGATGTGCGGAGGCAGATCAGTTGGTGGAAAACATGGAGCAGAAAGGCTTGTATCCCAACAAGGAGGCCTATCAGTATTTGTTAATTTCGCATTGTAGAGATTCCCAAGTTGATCCTGCCTTGAGAATCTTTGATTTGATGGCAGTTAGAGGCTTTGAGTGTCGCCTATCGACATTTAAGGCACTCATCTCTGCTCTCTGCAGGGTAGATCGCTTTGGTGAGGCGAAAGCATTATTTGAGAGAATGCTTGATAAAGAATTGAATGTAGATGAGATTGTTTGGACAGTATTGATCGATGGCTTGCTGAAGCAAGGAAATACAGATTTCTGCATGGAGTTCCTCCACATCATAGAATCCAAAAATTGCATGATTAGCTTTCATACATACATGATGCTGGCAAGAGAATTGTCCAAAATAGACAAGTCAGTAGAAGCTGATTGCATAGCTGAGAAATTGAAAGCTTTCAGGTACACCAATAAAAATAAGATTGTCTCGCTGTAACATCAGCATTCACCAGAAGGGAAGTTCTTCGAGATGACAGTGCTGCCTGCTCTGCGGGCACAGCCCAATTGGCCATGGTAATTTTGCTTTTCTGGCATGGAGCTGCTTCTAATTTTCATGGCAATCACATTCTGAATAATTGGTAAGCTGTAACTTCTGTTTCTATCTTCTGTGTCTACTTGACTCTGGGATTTTTTCTTTACAAACATCTGAATCCTCTCATTAAACGTAGTTCAGCTGACAAGTCTCGTCAACCGTGCATCTGCTACCATTGCAACAAATTGATAGGATTGGCAAAACTTGCATTTCTTGGAGAGGTGATTGTGGTCAAGCTTGATTTGGAATGGTCACCCTATGCCAAGCACCGGCTTAAGGTGGGTATCATATTACAGCTATCATACCCCTCGAGTTTTTTTCATTTTATGCATCCATTATCTCGACCTTCAAAATCATGTCTTTTTTTTACCGTCTAAGTTGGAGAAAATTGGGTGTCACAATATGGACACTACCCGTGCACTTATTCTTGTCTGGCCAAGTTTTGCTGATAAAGAAAAAAGAATATTCTAAATCTTCTGATTGTGCAATTTAAGGCTTTTACTTTTATATGGTACAATTTGGTCGCTATGAGGCGTTCAACTTTATTAGTGTTTCTTGGGCATTTTTTGCAATTGGAAACAATTTTGGCATGTCATAAGAAGACCTTAAACATCTAACACTTGTCTCTTAGACAACCTGGAGTTTAGTAAACGCAGAGATATGTATTTTGATGCCAAATAAGACCAGAAAATAAATTAAGCATGAATGTCTGATTGTTGTTATATATCAAGGAAAAACATTCCTGATAGTGGCTAGTTAATCTCTTGTATGAAATGAAATGAACTTTTTATGCACTGAAATAGATGGAGCACAGGTTTTTAGAGTGACTTTGTGAGTGCCTAGCCCCTGCATAAATAGTGAATGAGTTATTATTCACTGGATTATAGACATGGGACCTGACTATTTTGAGAGGTCAAGTCCACTGTTTAGGTAGACTTGGATGAGGCATTATTTCATTTGGCGGGCCGACCCGAAGTGATGAAAAGTTTGTTTTGGACAAGTGGCTCTTCTATACTACCTAGCCTAGCACATCGATTGTTGCCCAATCCCAAAATATTATTCTTACTCTGTCTAGGTTCTGTCCAACCCTAAATTTTATTTGTACTTTATCAGGGATTTGCATTCGATGAGTAAGCTCGGGAACGCTTTTGAGTTTTGCACCCGGCCTGACCTGATAATTGAGTATATAGAATTTTCAGAGGACCCTGCTCAATCTTGGAATATTCTTATTATGCCCTTGTTTGATCGGACCTCAGTGCAGCAATATAAACAAATTCTCCATCTTTCTTAAGCAGCAGGGCTAGTGAAGTACCTGATATGGCTTCCTTGTGAACACTTATATACTGGAGGAATGAAGAAACTAAAGTTTGATTGATGTAAGTTTAGACTCCTATTTGACATTGTAGATGAACGTAGCACATTCGACTACTTCAGCACACGGTTGACCTAAGTTATAACTGAACTGTTGTGGTCCAAAGTTCGAGTAAAGAGCAGGAGCTGTGACATTCTGTTCATAGGAAATTTATGGCTATACCTGGTTTATGAAATGTCTTATCCCAAATTTGTCCACTCATGTCTTTATTTACATCTTGTTGAATAGCTGATTTGTAGATTATAAGTATCTGCGGATTACACTTCAAATTAAATTTATTTTTGCTCTTGAAATTTTTCCGTTTTGCTTTTGAAGTTTTTCTGCTATAACCTTACAAACAATGAAGCACAGTGGAGATTTTAATGATTGATTTTTGACTTCTCATACTTTAAAGATGAATTTTCTTGTCTAAAGCAATGCTTCTATAATTGTTAACTCAATTTTTTACTACGAGTTGAAGTTTATGCAATCTCAAGTTCGGATTTGTTTAGAGAAGATGATAGAGTTTGTAATATTAGTAGTGGTGACGATTGCACAGTTTTTAGTATGATTAATCCAAGTAGATGTTCTTGATTTCAGTGTCAAATTCTCAAAAGTAGTCTTTTTTACTCTCTTCCTTCTTTTGCTTCAAGTTAAGAGTCTCTCATCCCTTTTGTGGTCGCATTAGGTTTTGTATAACTCACTTCTATAAGCTCTTTTTGCCAAGCTGAAGGAAGAAGTATACAGGGTTAACATTTTGGAAGAGAAATGTTTGCAACACTATATATTCACCAGAGTGGTTCTGCCAGAAGCACACCACAATTACAATGTAAACTGGACAATATGGTGCCGTATCTTCATTTGTCCATTTCTGCAGAATAGCGGAATCACAGATATTTCAGTATAGCTTTGCTATGAATGATGGAAATCAAGCTCAGATTTGGGAATGTTCACATACTTACCTACATTTTGTAGGATTGAACTGTGTTTCTTGGCCATTTGAAGCTTTCCTCTTGCCTGGCAGACAGCACAGCTGAATGTTGATGTAATGAAGTACAGTTTATGTGCCATAGCCCCAACAAAGAAGAAGAAGAGCCAAGCAAGGGAGGGGGAGGAGGAGAAGTAGAGCTCATATCACCATCAGTGATGAATTCTTTATTGTATATCGGTAGATGTTTAATCATACTAGTCAAGCCTCAGTAAAAATAAGTGATCGAGAAAATAATTGCCGCGTTCTGGTCTAATTATATAAAGGTGCTCCTTAATGGGGATGGAGGTTTCCCTAGTTAAGTTGTCTCTCCTATTCCTTATGCACTTTTAGGCTATGCAAAAAAGTGGTGCGTCAAGCACTAGTAATCTACTCTTCAATTTTGACAAGGGTGTCCATTTGGGTGATCTTGGGGGGTATTTGAGGATCAGAAGTCTAGCGTTTGATCTTTAAATGTAGGTTGATGGAGTTTCTGGGTTTTTGTATCACAGAGATATCGAGTTGTCATCAGAATTTGTTTCAAGTTTTGTATCATTGTATACAATGTATAGGGGTGGTACCCTTTGGTACTCTACTGATGAAATACTATGCATTCAAAGTGAATAAAAATTCTCTAGCGAGAACTTTTTCTCTTATCTAAGCTTCTTCCCTGTGCTCTGTGTGAACTTTGGCCCATAATGTTTGGGTTGGTTAGTGGTCATGCATTCTTTACTTCTTACGGGTGAACTAAACTTCCAAATTCAGTATCGGAGTCCGTGCCAAGTTATCCTCGGTTGGGTTTTCAATGACTCTCGACTTCTCACATAGAGCTCTCTTTCCCCATTGTTGTAGAGATGAAAAAAGGAAAACGCGCTAGTTCTTGCATGGAGCTGCAATTTATTCAAGATATGGTTGAACAAAATGAAACTGTAATTTCTCCTCATATTATCTGTTTGGTTCCTGGACTTCTGGTTCATCTCCACTCTCGCAACATTGATAAATCTAAGTCTATTTCCCATCCTTGATCCTCGCGACTTGATTCTACACATTCTGATCTCACATCTCACGTGTTCCTCAGTGGCCTTATACCATATGCCCCACTCCAGGCCATTGTGGTTCATTTCTTTGGCCTTCTCAGGTGATACTCTTGACGGCAACAAGCGAAAGAGGCCGTATAATGGCAGGTCTCTCTCCTCACGTCCCTAAAGCGTGGCTCTAATCAGGAGATGACACACTTAAACTATTGCTCATTGTCTCTTTCTCAAGAACCCCATCAAATCTCATGCGCTCTCTCTCATAATCCAGAACGAAGAAGAAAACAAGAGAATCAGTCCAATGAATGGGATTAATAAACTCCCTAATACAACAAAAAGTTCCTCTATCTCCGAAGCTCAGGTGGTTGTTGAATGACAAAATTAGATGGCTTAGACAACCACCCAAAATCTACTTATTCCCTTGGAGGGGCACTTCCAAATGCTAAGTACATCTTCGTTTGGACTCTTCCTCTTGCAACTACTCTCCCCTAGGAATTCATTTGCCTCCTCATTCCCTCCATGAACCTCCACCGGAATCTTGAATTTTTCCTCTTGGACTTAGTTTCCACCCGGCCGATCCTTCCCCCTTATATTTCGACCTCCGTTTTCGATGAGCGTGGCTGAGAAATCACAGGGAGTTCTAATCCCCTCCAACAATGGCGAGGCAGAGCGGTGACACGAAGATGGTCCGGTCCTCCCTGGCGTTGCTTCAAGAAAGGTTCAAGGAGCTTCAGAGAGCCAAGGAGAGGAGAGAGCAGTGGGAGCATATGAGATGGATCCCCGAACCGGGCCAGCCCAACCACAGCGCGAGCCCTGACCGTGCCAGGGCTCGTTTCCAGCATCAGACGAGTCATCCTCATCTTCCATTGAGACCGGCCCCTGAAGATTGTTTCCTCTCGCTAGGCCTCAACTCGCACTCGCAGCGGAATCACGGCAAGTTTCGGACCATGAACACGATGCCGTCTCCTAACATATGGCCAAATGCGACACCATCGACCTTGTCCAAATGTCCCGACTATTCAGATGTTGATACTTCTCTCCATCTTTAGAGGAAATGTTAAGATTCCAAATATATCTTGTGTTTTTGTTCTTTATTATATGCTGCGTGATCAGAGGAGCGAGTAATAACACTACATATACAATGGCAAATAATAATACGTGTACGGCGGTTTTGTGATTGCTTCATTTTCTTGTTCATTTCAAGACACAGTTCTCCTATCTTTTCCTTTCTTTTCCGCTAAAGAGCAGCACAATCACCATTGATCATTTTACGAAGAGCCAATCATCATGAACACCTTGTTCTGGAGTGTGTAATTACCTCATAATATGGATGAACAGAGAAAGTTGCATGTGCCATCTGATGTTGTAGGCAGCCTCAGATGAAATTGAGGAAGGCAATCAAATTTGGATCTCAACGTGGACATCCGATTTGTAGTGACAAGAGAGAGCATAATACAGAACCCTTCTAGAGTAATTGCCTTTGTACAAATTGAGTTCTAACAAGAAAGGATCCCATTCATTCAGAATCGGATTGGGTATTACTATAGTTTTGAAAACTTATGCGCTATTGTCACGGGTCGATAGTTTAGGAACATTCCCAGGCCCAGGCGATACAATAAATGTGCTATTGCCATGGGTGATACGGTAAATGTACTGTGTTTTAGAGAGTTCTCGGTATAAATGCCGGTAGTTGGTGGACGAGAAGATGCGATCTCAGCCACCCGTTCAAGAGTAGATCAATTGATGTAATCTATCGAGTCTTTGTAAAGTAGGGGTGTTCTCCCTGTTATTTGGGGCATCCAAAACAATAGAAGCAATTTCCATTCTCTTATAGAGCTTTTCTCTTTAGATTCTCTCTATGATCAGTGAGTGATCGAGAACACATCACATTTATTATATCGCCCATCTTTGGGAATGTTTTGAAACCTTCGTTAGGATTTGGATGAGTCTTTATTGATGTTGCACAATTCTTAGCACATGAAAACCTTATGACCGTGACACTATAATAACAAGATAGAAAGAAATGCACGAGTAAAGTGGATACGATATTTCGAAAAAAACAATGGATTCGATATAAAGAAAAGTGGGTAGCTTTTGTGATAGTGTTATCTCATATTCATTGCCTTATTATTGTCGCCAAGTACGACGAACTGATGGATATTTCAATGATAATTAAGACTAACCATTTCTTAAAAAAAAAATTCTCAAACAAATGATCACATCTTATGTTTTATTGAAATTCTTTCCTTTCAAATCTAGTAAAAAAAATCATCGTATGAGGTGATTGACTAGGACGATCACAAAGATACATTTACATGGCTCTATATACGTAGCCATCATCATCATCACTATTCAATGTTGGGTATATGTACATACATGCCCTAACTTCTCCAGTAGAGAGAGAAAGGAGAGAGAGAGAGAGAGAGAGAGGGGGAGAGGGAGAATGGGAGGAGCAGAGGGAGATCACGAGCGCCTGGCTCGCGTCTTGAATGCCCACCTCGACAACATCAACGACACCTTCCAGGTCTGCTCGCCTTTCTCTCTCCTCGTCCAATTTCCCAGAAAAGATTCGATTTTTCGGTTTCTTGTTTCTTGTTTGCCTAACCATGGCGGATGTGTGCCCGCGTGCGTGCGTGACCTGTGCAGGTGTTGAGTCAAGAACCCTCTCGTTTTCACAAACGGGTGAGTTGGGAAGAGGTCGTCAAGATCGGGGACCAAGTCTCAAAGCAAGCCACTGTGGGTACTGTCACTCTGTCTGTTTCTCTCTCCTTGCTGCGAGCTTGTAATTTCTGCTTCTGTGTGATTCTTGTCGACGTGGGCACTGGCGAACGTTCTCTTTTTCTTTGCTTGCTCTGGTAACGATCCATGAACTCTGGTCTACTTGTGAATTTTTGGTGGACAATTGTCGTTGTTTTCTTGATACGTTTGTATGGTTCTGGTGGCGATCCTCTGCCTTCAGTATGGACTTTATCTGGTCAATGCCTATGCTGTTCCTTTTCTTGTGGACTTGGGGGGCGTCATTCTCTCAACATGCCAAGATAAACCAGTCATTTTGTTGAATTAAGTAAATGGAATTGATGGTGTATGGAGCTTATGTCTGCCAATCCATCGTTCTACCTTAAGGCTTCTGTCTAGATTACTATTCATTGCGGGTCTTGGAACTTTGACACATTTTATTACAACTTCGGTATTTCGGAGACTGAATTGGTTTGTGTAGTGGCTGAAGGGTGAGATGATAGCATGCATGGAGAGGACCGGCTTTTATCTGATAAAATTTTCTGTAAATTCAGTTCAAATACAGCTAAATGCGGAAACGGAATGGTCAAGAAAGAGTGCTGGAATGACATATATCACTGTTGTGGTTTTCAAAGGACAAGCCGTCTTTTTTTAGTGAAAGAAAGAGGACAAACTGTTTTTGCTAGTATCTTGAGTAGGTCTCGACAGATAGAGTTTTGCGATAGAAGTCAGTTCTTAGGGAGTAAATGATCTTGGCTCTTTCATACTTATTGGTGCTTGTTTTGACCGTGCAGTCGGAATGTTGTGGATGGGACAAAAACCTCAAGCTAAAGCGATGGAGGAAAGTATGGCAACGTACTTTAATGCACTTCAGGGTTTTCTACTATTGTCCCATGGAAGCATGGTGGGTGCTGGACCGACTCTTTCTTCCACTATCCACGATGTGTTGAAGAAAGTTGTTGACTGTAGTGTTAAGTTACTCAGCACATGTGTCCATTCTTATGGTAAATCTTAGTCATATCTCTCTCATATACATGCATCCTACACCCAATGGATAGGTTTGAAGTTGAGGTCCTTGATAAAATGATTGGGAGACTAAGGTGGGTAACATCTTGATTTAGCATGGCATTAGCTATTGAGCCTTGATTTATTCGATGCTCCCTCCCATTAGGAAAATTTATCAGGTTCCGGGAGTGGTGGACAATGATGCAAAGTAACTTGTGATGGGATTCGTGGAGTAGATAATTGAAAATTCCAGGAAAAAGGTTACGTGGGTACATTCAACCAAAGAAATTAAGAGCTTGTCTGGAGATGTTTGTAGGAACCGTTTTTGTTTTTGAAGACATAGATCAATGTAGACTTGCTAGTCTAACTGTTAAATAGTTAATTGTTTTGAGAATTGTTTTTGAAAACAGGCTTATTTGAAAATGCCTAATGTTTTTCTCAGTTGTCCTCATTATTTCTCTAGTATATAAGGATACGAATTCAGAAGTGCAATTTTTTTGGGTACTTCCGCATGTCGCTTAACTATCTCACTTGTGCATACTGTCCTGCAATTTATGGTAATAGTGTACAATTTCTTTTCTGAATATTTTAGAACACATTTTTCAATAGGTTCTAGCAATGAAGAGGAACAGTGGGTTTCCATTCCAGTGCTAGTTGGTACGGTGTGGGAGGCATGTTCTGCTCTTAAGAAAGCTCCAGCAACAAATATTACTGCAATTGGGCGAGCCATGTCGCGGGTTGCAGTTACCATGAAGGATGTCCTTCGCGAGATGAAAGAGCTCAAGCCAGCTTGCCTGGACCCCCGTGATGAAGCTTCTGATGTCTCCTCTATAAAAGAAGGCGAGACTCAAGTTGATGATAATTCTAGTGAAGGTGACATAGGCAAGGACTTATCACCTGAAGAGATGAAAGTTGCTAATGCGGCAATTGTGGTGGTGTCCGATACCCTCACAGTCATCAAGGAATTAATTCGCGCCATTACAGGTTTGCTCAAGATGGAAAATTCAGATGACAGCAGTGCCTTTGTGGATTCTCTGGAAAAGTTATTGAAGCTATGCCAAGGAATAGGAGTACAAATCGACGAGCTCGGTGCTTGCCTTTACCCTCCACAAGAGGTCTCAGCCATGATGGTGGCCTCAGGAAAAATGTTGACTCATCTCAATGATTTACAGGTGGAGGTGGAAAATATTAAAGGAACTTCAGATGGTTTTGTTTTGGCTTGTGATGGTATCAGAAGTTCACTCAAACGGTTTGAGTCCGATTTAAGTTGCTATCGCCCTGATGATTTGGAAAGCCTACTGCAGAGCACTACTTTGAGTGATTAAGCGATGTAGGAGATGCCGTGATGGGCCCTGGGTGGTTGATGATAGGGATGAGATGCTCACTGTGCAATCTTCTAATCGATTTCAGTTGTGCACTGTTTGATGAATGGAGAGTCGACCTCACATATGCATACGACCTCGTGTGCTTAGTGTTAGATTTCAAATGAACCACTTTTGTTTTTGGTTCAGGAACTTTGTAAAATGGTATACCGGACAGGCTTTTACTGAAAATTGGAATTCCGTTGATTTCCCTAGATTCCTACCACGATCCTTTCCTTTTACTTGAGCAATGTCTCAAATGATAGGTTTGTTCTGTCTGGATCGCTTGCGCAAGAACTAGATTTTGAGATGGCAAAAGCCACCAGGAATATGTTCTCACCATTCACATCTGTAGCACCACTAAAGTAAAAAAAAAGAAAGAATCTTTGCCGTTTTCAATCGTTGTATATGCTTGATAAAAGACTCAAGCTTCACGAAAGTTCGCAAATTTGCAGAGCAATGGGTTCGTCCGTGGTTCTGGGCTTGAAAGTTCTTGTGAGCATTATTGTCAATGTTACTTTATTACCGTCACTGGGACGATTCTAAGCTTGCCATGGACAACACCCACATCTATCTTATTCGACATAATAGAAATTACTAGAAGAAGCTAATTGCCAGGATCAGTAGAGGGGAGTCGTTCTTTTCAGCCGAACAGTTGCAGCAGATTTGGCGCGGTTTCGTCTATTGAACCTTTTCAACTCTTTACTAGGAACTCGGTGGGGGAAATACTCGGAAGGAGAAGCGAAAGCATCCAACATGAGCGCGTCGCTAATACCGTGGCACCGAATCAGAGAACTCAGACAGACGTCTGGGTTCACAATCCTGGCTTTGTTCACGAACATGCCTGACCTTCCATTGTTCGTGATGCTGATCATCCGGTTGGGCAGGCATGTGGGTATGAGAGTCCTGTTGGGGAAGTGAATCAGGTGGCTCATCAGGAGTGGCATGGGGATCGAATGGCTGAGGATGAAATCTTGGAGATTGTCCTGACTCACCGAGGCCTTGGACAGTTGCCGATCATCTGGCATTAGGAAGGTGATATTAGAGCCATAGAGTGCGTCGGGGTAAGTGCTTAGCCTTTGGAGAAGGATGACAAAGCCGCGGTAGGACTTCATTCTCATGTCGGCCATGGCTTTGTGCAGGTCGGTCTGGTTAATTTCACCTTTGGGCCGAGATTCAGCGAAAGCACAAATCTGAAGAAGGATGAAGAGCCACAAGGCCATCTCTATTCTATTCGAGTTCTTCTGAACTGCAGATTTTGAGCATGTCTTTCAGAATGAAGCTTGTTTATATATTCCTAGGTTCATGAGCTGATGAAGGTGCATATCGCCTGGGGCTAGTTGGTGGGTAGTTCAAACACAAGGAAAGTGCATATGCCTGTCTGGTTAAAAAAGGAGAACCCAAAATTTAGGACTGGCTATTCATACAATAAAAAGGATCGTAACAACATTTAACCCGCATGTTTTTGTTGAACCTAGAATCCTGACATTGGACAGCAATTGAGTTGTAACCAGTACATTGTTTGTAGGAAATTAAGGTAGACGATAAGAATCGCATTTGCCATCTACTTCTATTATGCGAGGATCCCTGTTTTGAAATCATTGAAAAGGAACATCCGCTCGATTCATCTACCTCAGATTGAGATGGACACAGGTAAATAATGTGACTTTGCGTAGGCTGTTTGTACATTATATAGATCATTGTGTTCATACAACCGCAGCTTATTGACAAGATTCGCTCCTGCAACTTCTACGCAAGCTCCATCGTCACAGGGGGATTTGGCATTTCACTCGGCAATGCGACAAAGTTTGTGTTCAATTTGGCCCTAGCAGGCTGTGAGCTTTTTTATTTTTTTAGAGGGAAAATAGGATAAGAAAGGAGGAGGAATAGGCCAAAACCCCATCAATGTGAACTGGAGAAGTTCAAGTGCTAAAAAAAGTTGAAAAAGGAAACACCACCTCATGAACTGTATTCAGGGACATATGGGATATAACTTTGACACATGCCTCTAATTGTTCTTCGAATGAATGCGTAATCTTGGGGTGGAATATAAAAATCTCCTAGCTGGAGTCCATGTTTTATTTGGAATTTGAAGAATTTTTTTTTGCTCTGATGTCCTGTCTCGCCCTTGTTATAATAATATGGCATTCTTGCTCTGTGTACCTCTAAGCTTCGATAGTATGTGGCCATAAGACCTCTCTGGAGATAGCTCACACTTTTGTCCCCACTGAACCTCTCTCTCTCCCTCACACACACACACACACACACTCTCCAGAAAGAGGCATGTCAATTCCACTGCAATGTATTCTGATTGCTGCCCTCTTCTTGGCAACAGTTCCACGTAAATCTGGTGAGTTTCTCTTTACTCTGTCCCAAAAAAGTCATGGCAAGCTCGGGTCAAATAATCAAGAACCTTGAAAACTGTCTACCCTTTATGGTTGTCTTGCTCTTCCAAGCACTGAGCTTCCACCATCTGATTTACGTCTCTGATGCTTCCATCTGCTCATCTGATAAAAGAAGGCATCGCAAGAAAGCCTCTTCTGATCTTTATTTCTCTGCTCTTGATGACATTGCATATAGCTGGGGAGTTCGAGCAATGGTGTGTGGCTGACGAGCAGACCCCGGACGACGAACTGCAAGCAGCTCTGGACTGGGCATGTGCACAAGGAGGGGCTGACTGCACTGCAATCCAGGCGAACCAGCCTTGTTATCTCCCCAACACCGTGAGGGCACACGCTTCCTATGCCTTCAACAGCTACTACCAGAAGTTCAAGAACACGGGTGGATCTTGCTACTTCCGCAGCGCCGCCATGACCACCGAGCTCGATCCCAGTAAGCATCTTCGATCTCTTCTCTTTGCTTCTGGATCGATTCTTCCGTACAGATCTGACAAGAAAACATGAATGTTTACTTTCGAAAGAAGTAGTCTACGTTACGTGAAGGGTCTTATGTCATAATAGTGAAAGTAAAATCTTCTAGCATAAAGTTACGGAAACTAAGAAATTCTTTAGCTTGTTCAATTCAAACAGTGTATAAACAATGCTTTACATTTTATAATAATTTCCTACTAAGCTGTACTGGTACTTGATCCCCACACATGGGATCTAGAGAAAAGAAGCAAAGTCCATGTGCCCAGGAAGAGGGTGTGCCCTGTGAGTTCTAAATGGCCACGTCTGGTATCCCATGCATTGTCGAGCTAACTCTTATCATGGCCCAACACCTTCTTTTTCTTTTTTCTTTCCACTTTGCTTTCAAAAGTTGAGTGAAGACAAATGAATTACATTCAACAATTGCATAATTCGCATCAGTGCTCTCAGTTAAAAGGGGACAAAGCGTAATCATAGGGCGGATCCTGAGAAAATCTGTCACCTGTTCTGCTAAACTTTACAAGGTGTTTCGATATCTCAGGTCGTGGTTCTTGCCACTTCGACTACATTCCATGATTCAGAGAGGCGTGCAGATCAATGGGGCCAAGGCAGGATGATCCGGTCTGGGTTTACTTGGAGGGAATTCAAACCAGAGAGCTTCGTTATTGTTCTACTTCATTTTCTTTTCACAAATGTATGGACGATTTTTCCTTGGAAGTAAGAATTCGTAGCCGAGTTAAACTAGTCCCCGAGTTTTCCGTCGAAGGGACATTCTTGCAGGAAGTGAAGCTGAATCGTGCTTTCGAGTGGATTTTTCCATTGCCAAGAGACGTGAAATTCCTTTTTCGGTTTCAACTGGTTATGCTTTATACATAGAACAGTGACAGAGAATATGAAAATCGCAGAATCGAAAGACAAGGAACCATGCCTGATGGGAAATAATCATAACTCTAAATACGAATCCGAAGTTACCTTTCCGGGAAAAAAGGACAAAACGAGGAGATTATCCTAGTTTCGGGTTGAACATCATCGACGGTTTCCATAATGGTAGCCGGACGACGAAATCGGGGTTAGCTCAAAAAAAGAAGAAAGCACACTAAATCTGTAATGTTTGGCTCTAAGAGCTAACAGCGGAGTGAACAACAAACTTCTAAGATTCGATATCATAGCATAGCAACAATCGAAGCGGAGTTGCTGTCCCTAAAAATTCAATTCAAATGATCCTGCATCCTCCAACAACTATTGGTACACAGATAAACCTTAAATAATCCGTAATCGAAGTTCTGAACGGTATCTAAATTCTCGACATTGAAAATGACATGATATGCCCAACAATCAAACTTGTCAGTGAAACTTGAAATATAAAAGATCTATAACGGGGCTCTTCAGTATTCCCGGAACAATAAGGGCTGTAGATAATACTCCTAGGGACCTTGAGGTGAACGCTGCAGACAATTGCAATGGAGCTTCTCGACCGCGACGGAATTTGAACACCGTCCACTCCCTCCAGGCATTGGCAAGACCCACTTGCTCGCGTGTATCCTATGTTGTCAGACCGACCGCAAAGTGGATTTTTCCACGAACAAACAGTCAACAGAGTCAAGAAAGGCACAACAAAGAACCCTCGAAAACCATCTTGGGGTTAATGTTACAATGGCCTTTTGGCCATGTGTCTGAATATTTGTACACCTTAAGGTAACGCTGTCTAAAGAATGCTAAAGTATAGGTTCCACCTGATCCTTCTTTGCCTCTCTCTGTAGATGCATTAAGCAGTGACTTCGACCCCAGCGTGGAGGAGTTCATCAGGAGTTGCAGCAGGGTCCAGATCCCAGCAGCCATCGGGCACGTTACCGTTTGCTTCTCTCTTCAGAGACCAAGATGGGACTCGGTGCGAAAAGCGCAACATCTCTCTCCTTGGGATCCATCTAAGTGCATCCTTGCTTGTATTCCTCTGGTATACCGTCTTGAAACCTTCCAATTTTATGAGGGGGGTAACACAGACACCAAGCTCTTCAGAATAATCATCGACCACCTCTACCATCTCATATTGATGCCTCACGTCAGCTGGTGTGGATCGGTCCCAATGGGGAGACCAATTACGATAAACAGCCCATATATCTCCACTTCTTGGGTATATGCGAACACAACCTCCCCGGCCAGCTTTTTCCTTACTCAGTAGATGAGAGAAGATGTTCACTTGATCAACAACATCAGAGGTCCATGCCCTAAAATGACCACATGATTTGGTAAATCCACAATCTATCCAGTTAACTGACCCAAATTCAGAATCAGTTTTAGAACTCAAGTAACTGATCAGGATCTTGAATGGCTTTACCGAGATGATCTGGCGAATCAGACAATAGAGTCGAGGCATCCCATCTTCTTCATCATAAATAGCCCATATTTGCTTGGGCTTGAAACATTCCTCAGATCGGTCCTTGTCGAAATCATGGAAGTCAGGGTCAGGGACTGTTATCGAGACTGGTCCATTTCTACTGGCTTTTGAATGACTAACCAACTTGGACTGACCAGCAGCTTCAGCCTGTAACCTCGCAGCCTCTTTTGCGGCTGCAGCAGCTGCTGCTGCTTCCTGCTTCATCTCTTCTAATTTCTTACGGATTTCCGTCCTAGCCTTGTCCATCAGCAATTTCCTAGCATCAAATGCTGGCATTGCAGAGCAACGTCTAGCTGGAAGATCGTTTGAGTTCGACAACTTAGGATCAAGCTCTTTTTTGGTTTCTGGAGATGACTTTACCCCCGTGAGTTCAGAGCCATTCCTAAACTCGGATCCAACCACAACCTTCCTTCTCTTGTCAGGTCTAACCATGTTCACCCCTGATGATCCATTAACACCACCGGGCAATTGTGGACCAATGTCAGCCGGAGTATTCCTAGTTGCATGCTTTTCACTGCTTCTGTGTCTAGCTTTATGAACCTTACCGTTGGCTGGATAAACTGCATCACTTGATATGGCTGTAGACCCATTAGGGCCAACAGCTGCAGTGGAACTCCCAGAGGGTGAGCTCCACTGGAAGGACACGTTTGAGGTGTATTCATAGCCCTGTCCGGTGTGATATCCTGACACTCCATTTCCCACAAAATAAGAGGAATTTGTTGGGACGTAGGACACGCCATCAGATCTGTGGCTTCCATACCCATTACCGGGGAGATAAGTATAAGGACTATAGGGAAAAGACCCAGTAACTGGAGCAGTACCGGTTTCCACAGCAACAAAAATACCCCGGCAATTTTTACATGAAAGTCTCTTGTTGACATACTTGCGAAGATATTCATACTGAACTTTACAAGAAGTGCAGACAGTCCAGAAAGTATCAAGGGTAGGTTGAGATGTGGGTGGGCTGAAGCAGTTACTATGCGTTGTATAACCAGTAACATGAACTGAAGATAAATTTGTCTGTGAAACCAACGAAGCCAAGTGTTGATTTCTCTTCAGATCGTAAGAGCCTCTCTTAGCACTGTCTGACAAAAGAGTCCATGCCTCAGAAACAAGTTTAAAAGCACCATCAGCTCCAACGCATTTGTTTTTATCAGGGTGAAGGAGAACTGCCAACTTCCTATACTGTCTCTTCACTGCATATTTATCTGCAGTAGGCTTTAACCCAAGAATCGAGTAATAATCTACCTCACCATTAATGTGCACTGCAGAAGCCACATAAACCTCAAAAGTGGCCACCATCTGAGATATACCATCCAGTCCAGGCCAAAGCGTTTTAGCCTTCAAGGCATAACTTTTTGCTGCAGCAAAGTCTTTTTCAGCAAATCGCTTCTCAGCAATTTCTTTTGCCTTAAGGGCCTCTTCTCTGTTTGATTCCATGTAGTGAATTGCTTCAGAACAGTAGTGGTTGAATAGAAGCTACGGTCACTTCAGCATCTTGATAGGGAAACAAGCTTGACTTCCATGTCGAACCACCTTATCAAATCTGCAAACAATTTGGCCATCATTAAGGTCTAATTCATATCGAAATTCAGTCACATTCTACAAACGTTAAAACAATCAAATCTGACTTATTTCAGATGAATGGATTGCTTACTGCGATGCTAAATAACGAAATTATCCGCTGGCGTCACTACCACAACTTGCTTAAAAAATAAAAGCCATAAAAAGAAAATCGATATCTCAAGAATCCGACCATTTATTACCAAAACGAATTAGCGAGAAACCGACGGACTGTAACGGCCGACTCGAATCAACTGTTCCGCCGCAGCATACTGCGCAGTAAATGCAACTACGAAACTCTTAATTGAGTTGCTTTCTCATTTCCAAAAGCGCGGGAACCAATTAATTGCGCATCGCATCCGGATAATCTCAGCGCGGCAAAAGACCCGAGGGAGAGTCAGCGGGCTTTGACATGAAAGCCTAAGTCAAAGGAGACAGAACTGAAAACATTCAAAACCGTACTCAGCAGTGAGCAGCACCAGCTCAAAACCCTAGAAAGTCTCGCCTAGTACTTCTCGACCCTACCTCGAAAGTCAAAACAGCGAAAACCTAAGTCTCCACGCCCGCACTGGACCTTAATTACACCGATACTCCACTAGCATCTAGCTAAGGACGGAGCAACACAAACCCTAGCAGAACCGAGCATTTCACGCCGAATCGACCCGAACTTCTGTAATCGACAGGAACGAGCATCATTTCGCAGTTCAAACGAACTAGGGCGCCAAATCGCCGAGATCCTAGCACAGAATCGACGGACAAGAGCCCGACAACCGCCGAATTCCGCCGTGTCCGGCTCGAACCGCGAATCGCGAGCGATTAACGGGGAGGATTACGGCGAGATTAAGCAGATAATCAACACTCACAGTGATTCCAGCTGGAGCACGAGCTCGGGAGGCTCGGATCGCCGCGCGCCGATCCGGAGCTCGAGCGAATCGAGGTCAAGCTGAGCTCGCGAATCTCAGTGCGCGCGCACGCACCACACAAAAGCGCACGCGCTCTCGCGCACACACGCACACACCACACTGAGGAACGAACGAACTTCGCAAAGCGGCCGGAGCGCAGAGAGAGGGAGAGCCGCGAATGGAGGACTCACCGTGCGGGCGGCGGCGGCGGCGGCGCTGCTCCGGCGATCGGCGGCGGGGGGCCGGTGGATCGCCGATGCGGGGCGGGGGGATATGGATTTTCGGAGGAAAAGGGCCCCAAAAAAAGGGAGTTAATAAAATGGGGAGGAAAAATAAAAAAAATTTATTATGAGATTGAGTGAAAGTAAACGGGGGCGGGCGTTAATATAAAGTTTATTTATATATATACGCAGCATTTAATTTAATTTTTATTTTTTAATTTTTTAATTTAATGGCAAAGTGTGAAGGGGTGCTCGCTAAAATGTGCCGGGGGGGCGCATTTGCTGTTGGTTAGGGCTGGGTTTGGTAGAGGGAGAGAGAGAGAGAGAGGTGATGATGATGATGTAGGGGTAGATGTGTACTTTTGTTTGTATTTTTGTTTTTGTTTTTGTTTTTATTATTGTCGTTGTTATTAATTATGGTGTCATTTAATAGTATGTGATTTGATGTGATATATACATATATTTTTTATTCTATATATGAACTGCACTCTGTATCTATGCTGTTATTTAAGGTAAGGAGAATCTGATACTTTTTATGACATTTCAATTATTCCCCCCCCCTTTTTAAATGACCTCAATTACCTATTTTAGGAATATTATATACACGAGTAAATGCGTAAATTAATTATCGACCTTATGTTCCACTTCCTTTTTTGGGTCTAA